AACTGATAAACGTTTCCCAATTATCTGTGGTACTGAAGATCCATTTGTTGTTGTTCCAATGTGTCAGAAGGTTGGAATCGTAGTTGCCCACGTAAGTCAAGATACTTTGGTGAAATCCCAACAAACTCCAGCTCTGAAGATTCTAGCTCCCAAGGTTCAGATTCAACCTCCCAAGGTTCAAGTAGCTCCATTTAAAATTATTTATTAAAAAATTTTATTTTTTATATAAATAGATAAATTTTTATAATTATGTTTTATTTAAATAAATTAATTTTTAGTTTAAATTAATTATTGATAAAATATAAAGAATAAAAGTGAACCTTTATTTATTTATTTATTTATTTGTTTGTTTATTTATTTATTTGTTTTTAAAAACCTATATTGTTGTAAAAATAGAAGGTGACAAACATCTATCCAAGAATTTTCTTGTTAAATAGATTTTGTTATCATTTTTAAACCTTAAAGAATTGATTATATAATCCTGCTCTTTGAAGTATTATTTAAATTAAATTGTTTGAAAAAAAAAAAAGTTTATATTAAAAAAACTTATTAATAAACACACTAACAACGTAAAATTTGTTTAATATTAAACTTTTAAAAAAAAAATATTTTAAAAAAGGTAATTAATAATTATTATTTAAATTATTTATTTTTTTATATATTATATTTGTTTATTTTACTTGAATGTATAATACTTATATGATCATTTTTAAATTATTATCAATCTTTTATTTTTTTTTTTTTTTGAAAAGTTAAGAAACTTATTTTTTCTTTATTATTTTCCAATTTTATAATTTTATTTGAAACCAGATCAATTCTAATTAGAAAAATTATTTAAAAATTAAAATTATATAATAAAAATATCAAAATAAACTTTTATTGAATTTATGGAAAAAAAAAATAAATGATGCAATAAATGTAATGATAAAAATTTTTAATATTAAAGAAATTACCATTTATACACTATCGTATATATTAAAAGAATATTTAAAAACACACACGAACACACGCACACATTTATTATTTAATTATTATTTTTGTGATATTATGTTATTGTTGTTCTCCCCAATAACAATTAAAAAAAAAATAAAAAAAAAATAAATAAATATAATACCCATACACATACCCACACAAATAATCTATCGCACATACTATACATATTTAAGAACAATCAATTAAATAAAAATTCCACCCACCAAATATACACTTCTATCATTGCGCTGATAAAAAAAATCAATTTCAAATACACATTAAATACATCCATACATATAAAAAAACACATATATAAACTCAAAAAAAACACACACACGATAACACACTATAAACAAACAAAAAAAAAAAACAAAACACACATACACACAAATATTTGTTTAAAATTATTTCCTTTTGTAAATTTTATTTTATTTTTTATTTTTTTTTATTTTTTATTTTTCTTTAAAAAAACTAATTTGGTTTATTTAAGTTTTAAAAAAAAAAAATAAAAAAAATAAAAAAGACAATTACAATTATAATTACAACTACAAAAGACCTTTCACTAAATAATTATTTAAAAACCTATAGCATAGTTTAATAGTATTTCTAATTAAATATAATATAATATAAAATGTCCACAATGAATAAACTATTTAAAAAAATTATAAGTATGTATAAACGAATTGATAAATCAATTAATATTATAATTTACTAATTTATTTTTATTATTTTTATTATTTTTTTTTTTAATTTCAAAACAGTATCAAAAAATAAAGAAACAAAGAAACCTTTAATTAAAAAACAAAAAAAAGAAAAAAGACCCTATGTCTATGATATGCATAATATATTGTGGTAAAAGAAGATAGATTATATAATATAATATTGCAACAATTCTATATTTCAAGTTGCGATAGTTGTCCGAATAATATAATATAAATCAGAATAAAATAAAATAAATAAACTAATGTATATATATTGTGGTTTAAACCAATTCTTGTAATAAATGTTATTTTACTAAAATTAATATTACTTATTTATTTATTTGTTTAATTACATAAACATATATATATATTTGGATTTATGTATATGTGTTTTATTTGTATATGCATTTTTCCTTTTTCTTTTTTGCTTTTTTTTTATTGTTGTGGTTGAGTTTGATTTTGTGTCGATTGTGTTGATTGTTGTTGATGAGAGAGTTTATTTTTTAAAGATAATAAAATTTTTAACAAATTTGTGATACCAAATAGATAACCACCATCGATTGGAAAGAATGTAGCATCGCTGTTATCATCAATATTATTTATATCAATTGATTTATAATGTGATAGTTTGGATGAGTGTGCTTTCAAGTGGGGTGGATAAAGTTTGGTGTGGGTGAAATCTATTAATCTAATATCACATCTATTTTTACTGTTATTATCACCTTCATATATAAATAGAATTGATGTTGATCTAAATCTATAATCGGGCTATATTATATTTGAAATATATTAGTATAGATATATTAAAAAAATATTTTGATATATATACATACATTGTTTTCAAAATATTGTTTAAATAATGATAATCTTTCAATCATTGGTTCAATTATATCATTTCTAAATTCATAGCCATTTGAAAAAAATTCATAAAGTTTTTCTTTGACAGTAACCTCTGTTAATAGTCTACCTTGTTCTTTTTGATTCTTTTCAACTTGATTTGAAGAGAGATTATATCTTTGGGAACCACAAACACAGAATCCTAATTTTGGTGTTGTAATATATTTTGAAACTAACCATGATTGATAGAGTTCTAGAAAGAATAAAAAAGAAAAAGGTGAGAAATTCAATGAAGAAATAAACTATAGTTTCTATTATTAATTTTACATACCTTTATGTAACGACATATTGGCTTGTTGTTTTAATGTTTCAAAATTAACATTGGGGTCATCTGAATCATTTGGTTTGCTGTAAATCTCCTCTAAATCGACATCATGGTGTGATAATCCTAATTTAATATCCATTATATTTGGTTTGTTGTATCCATTGGTTAAATCTTCTAATATAATATACTCTTTGCCATCTTTCATTGCTGTGCCAAAAAATTTTGGTATTAATTTTGAAAGTGAGTTATCATCTGATAAATTTTCATAAAATTCTTTTTCTTTTTTTGTGCATTCTTTAAAAATTTTACCACTTGATTCTTTTGATTTTACAAATGGAGTTGATCCTGCAACAACATTAAATTTTATATCTGTTGTAGTTGCCATATTTTATTATATATTTATTATATTGTATTATTATATTATATTATTATATTATTATATTATTATATATTATTTTATACTATTACTATTATTTATGTATTATTATAAAAAAAAGGGAAATTACTTTATTTTTTTTTTATTTTTTTTTTGTATATGATTTTTAAAAAAAATTAGAAAAAAAGAAATTAAATAAAAAAGATAATAGAATATTTAAATAAATATAGATTAGAGTATTTTAATTTTTTTTTTATTTATTTTATTTTATTTTTTTTTTAATATGAAATAATTTTTTTTTTTTATTTGAAAAAAAAGGTAATTTATTTTTCTATAAATAAAATTAATATATAAAAAAAAAAAAAAGATTAGTAGGTAAGTTATAAATAGAAAAAAAACAAATATTAATAAATTTATTTATTGTGTGATTCTATATTAAAAAAAAAAAATAAAAAAAAGAAATTAAAAATAAAAAAATTAAAAAAAGAAAAAAATTAAAAAAAAAAAAAAATGAAATTAAAAAAAAATATGAAAAAAAAAAATGAAAAAAAAATAATAAATTGTATGATTGCTCATCATTTTATTTCGTTTATTTATTAGTTTGTAATGTGTTTTTGTTTTATATTTTTATATTTTTATATTTTTATTTTCGTCCCAAATCCATTGTAAACCATAATGGGTTATCTATATATACAATTATCAAATGTATACACATATACCATTTTTTCATTTCTTTTATTACCATTATCATTATCGTTATTATCAGTGTTGTTATTGTTGGTATGTAATAATGGTATGCTTCCTCCTCTAGGAGAGTTACAGGCTTTGGCGGTGGAGTTTGAGATAGAGGACATTTGTTGTATAAATACTAAATAATATATTGTTATAAAATAATAGGGTTAATATACATTCAATATTATTTGGTCTTTAATATTTTAATTACTTTTGGTTTTTTTTAACATTGTGTTTTTTTTTTATATTATATTTGTATTAAATATATAAAATAGTTTGTTTTTTTTTTTTTCTTTAAATATTTTTATTTTATTTATTTAATTTTTTTTTTTTTTTTATAAAATAATTACACATCATAGAAAATAATAAATGGTTTTTAAATCTTATTTAAATCGTCATTTTGATATACATATATATAAAAATATACATTAATATATTAAATAAAACAAATTAAACGAACAGCTTTTAGGAAAAAAAAATAATAAAAAAATAAAAACGGTTTATATATTAGTTTTATATACATTACCATATTAAATATTATGAACATCAACCCACACTCTTACACACAGTCACAACCATTACCACCACCACACACTTTTACAACGATTTGATTATTTGCTTAATTTTTTTTAAAACGCAACATAATCACAACTACTGCACCCACAAATATTATTATTAACACCACTATCACCACATTTTAAAATGTTTTTAATTAATTATTCGTCAATCTCATTTATAATTAATTTATCTTTTTTGTTTTGTGTTTTGTGTTTTGTGTTTTGTGTTTTGTGTTTTGTGTTTTGTTTTTGTTTTTCCCCCTTTTAATCACCACACCCCAAGTACCCAATAGTAATCATTCTTAACTATCTTTTTTTGTAGTTTAATATAAAGTTGTAATTAAATCTATTATTGGATATCAACTATATAAAATGTTATTATCAAATGTATATTTTTTCATTTAATCAGACAAAAGGAGCTAGTTATAGCTTCTTCTTTTAGTAATTTTCAAGGAAATAAATAATAATAATTTGTATAATGCAAACAATTGTAAAATATAATAATAATAAAAAAAATTTATAAAAATAACATAATAATAATAATAATAATAAAAATAATAATAGGGCAAAAACGGAGTGTTTATTTTGTTGTTATTTTTGTTGTTTTATTAAAACCTTTTTTTTTTTTTCAAATTTTTTTTATTTTATTTCTATTTTTTCTATTTGTTTTTTAATAGGTTTTTCATTGTGTTTTATAATAATAAAATTTAGTTATTTTTTAATATAATTAAATTTATTTATATAAGTATAATAAAAAAGTATTAATTTATATATGTATCCATTTATAGTTAATATTATTGTTTAAAAATAAAAGGACATATGGTTTTTGTTGTGTGTATGTGTGTGTGTGTAATTTACAAATACATTTTTTCATTTTATTAATTATAAATTTTAAAACAAAATCATAAATTTGATTCATTTATTATAACTTTTTACTTGAAAATTTATTTTTATAATAATTATATTAAAAATATCGAAATTTCACAAAATCACTTTTTTTTTTTTTATTTTTTTTTTAATATTAATATTTATTTAAATCAATTAAGTAATGATTTAAATTTGTCTTTTTATAATGGAGTGATTATACAATATTATAATATGTCGATTTTAAAATTAAATATGGAAATTATTTTTTTAATTTAAAATGTATGGTTAATACACCTTTTTATACAACCCACAAAATTTTTTTTTTATATTTTATTTTTTTCATTTTTTATTTTTAATAAATAATCCTCACATACCCTCTCAAATACACACATACCCACACACACACACACACACCACATACCCATACATAAAAAAATTATAAAAATCCTATCCATTATTAAACAATAGTTTTTCCTCAAAGGGTATGTATTTAATATGTATTTTTTATTTTATAAAATAATATAAAAACAACTTTTTAAAAGCACCAATCATGGAGTAATTGTTAAAAACGTTCATAACGACCGCTGCCATTACTATTACTAGTTCTAGACGACTAATTTGTTATTTTCAATTATCCAATAAAAAATACTCACATATTAAAAAAATAAAAGAAAATAAAAAACATAAAATAAAAAAGCAAAAAAAATATAGAGTTGAAATAGTTGTCATTTACCTAAATTGATTTTTAGATAAAAATAACAATTGAACTCTTTACTATAATATATCAAATTGACTACTTTTTTTTTTTTTTTTTCTTTTTTTTTTTTTTCTTTTTTTTTTTCTTTTTTTTTTTTTTCCAAATTAAAAAAAAATTTTTTCCCTCTTAAAAAAAACTTTACCGAAAAAAAAACAATAATAATAATTTCTTACTTTTTTAAAAATAAAATAATAAAAAAAAAAAAAAACACAAAAATAAATTATCTTCAAACTATTATTAAAAATATAATTTATATATAAACACAACATTAAAATATGGCTTCATTTTTAAACACAAACACACATCAAATATTTTTTGATAAAATTTCTAAACTATTAAAATGTATGTATTTATTATCACACAAAAATTAATTTTATTTTTAAACTAATCATTTTTTTTTTTTTTTTAAAAATAATAGCACCCACTTTAAAGTCATCAAACAAAGTTCCCTTATTACCCAAGCCAATCAAACAAAGAGCATTTGTATATACTTTTGACAATACGGTTTTTATTTAATAAAATAACCTGTACTTTATAATTTTGTTGGGAATATTAGCCTGGTTCGAAATATCAAAAAAACATGTACTTTATTATTTATTTATTTATTTATTAAAAAAAAAAAAATTAAATAAAAAGAAAATCCATACAACTTTTATTTTTACACTATTTTATTAATTTAAAATTGTTCTTTGGATATACAATTGTCATTTTCTTTTAATGGTTCGTTGAATAGTTTTTTATTTGGATCATAGCCATATTTTATTTTCGTATCAGGAACTATATGATTGCAAACTATTCTTAAAGAGTCAAACATTTGTTCGTCAAATGTATTTCCTCCTTCCCATGGTTTAGATTTGTGGTTCATGTGAATAATCCAAGCTTCTGGTAAAACATAAAAAGAGAATCCCTGTGCAGCCATTCCAAAAGTGTGTGAGTTTTTATCGAATCCATAGCCCTTTAATCTTTCGTCATATAGTTCTATTTGTGATTTGTTATATAGCAAAAATGGTTCGTAAAGCCAACGATAGTCCACTTTATAAGGCTCCACTGCGGAAAACCAACGGCTGTAATCTGTAGGTCCATGACATCGAGGACATACGTTCTTATTTATTATTTTAATATCACCTGCTTCGACCATTTGAATTAAATCTACTTTGCCTGTGGGGAAATCATAATGTGAAATGCTACTTGAAAATGATGGTATTATAAATGAAACTAATTTGTTTTTATCGATTTCTTTTAAAAGAGATTGTAAATATTCATACATTCCTTCATTAGTCACAAAATCTACATCCAATAACAATGTCCAATCTGTTCTCGCGTTTACTAATGCTAAGTTTCTTAAATTGTTTACTGGGTATCTTGTTTGATTGCTATAGAGAAAATGAATATCTACAAATTGTGCAACTGAAAAACTATTCCTAACAAGCTTGAATACACTATCGATATCGCTTTGGTTCCTTATATAGACAGCTGCTGAAATAGGTGCTCTCCAAATATCTGCCATCATTGCAATTCTATCCATTCTATCAATTGTAAATTGTGTAACAATTGTAATTTCGTATGACTCTATCTATTTTAATTAATTATTTTCATTATGAATCGATTAGTTTTATTATTTCTTTTTTTTTCAATAAAAATAATAATAAAACTTACATCTCCTATTGCTCGATATGCATATTCTTCCTTTATATAAGTTGCATTAATACCATGTGGTAATGTAACAATGATTTTGGGTTCTCGTATTGAATATAAAAATAAAAGTAATAATAAAGAAGCTATAGCAAAATACTGTATAGGTTTTTTAAACCTATTTATTTTTTTATTATTAAAATGATAATGTACCATTTTTTATTAAAAAAAAAAAAAATTGTATATTGAGAGTAAAAAAATAAATATTTTGATTATTTTTTATTTTTATTATTATCAATTAAAAAAATATATAATAACTGTATAATTAAATTAATTATTTTTTCTTAATAATATTTAAAACAAATAAATTCTGAAAATAATTTATTTAATATATAATATTATATATTAACCCACACACACATATGTTTTTTTTTATTTCCTTTTTTGCTCCATCTTTATTTTTTTTAAATAATTTTAAATTATTTAAAATAATTTAAAATTTCAGTTTTTTTTTTTTATGAATAAAAAACAATTAAAAAAATAAAAAAAATATAAATATTATAAATTTATTATAAAAATTTAAAATAAAATCTATTGATTAAATCGTTATTTTATTGAAAATAAATACACAACATCAATATTTTAATTTAATATTATTTGAAAAAAACCATTTTTTTTTTTTAATATTAAATTAAAATACTATCAATATAAAAAAATAATAATGCAAAAAAGAACTTTACAAATATTATGATATTAGATTAAATTAGTTTATTTTTTTTTCAGGTATATACAAATAATGTTTTTTTATAGATTGTAATAATAATTTATAAATTTAGCATGAGCAGCCGCAGTTTGAACATCTACCACCACCGCCACCAAGAAGACCACCAACTAAGCCACCAACGACACCTCCGACAACTCCGACAACACCGCCTACTAAACCAACAACACCACCTACAACATTGCCTAAACCAATACCGCCGCCGCAACCACCGCAACCGCCACATTGAACAGCATTTGATGATTGTGATGATGAAGAGCTGCCATATGAAATAGATTTTGATGATTTTGATAAAGATCCAGCATTACCTAATGAAGAGATAGAGTCTAAAGAAAAAGAAAAAGAAAAATTATTAATATTTATAAAATATTTATTATAAATATTTTATAAATATTTTTTTTAACTTACTAAAAAGTGTCATTTTTAATTTTATATATTTGTTTTCTTGTTGATTAATCTTTTTGATTTAAATAATTTAAAAAAAAAAAAACTATTTATAATTTTTATTTCTATAAAAAATGATTAATTAAATTTTATCATTAAATAAAAAAACTAATTTATATCAATTACTTATTTTAACTACCATTTTTTATTGTGCATACCAGTATTTAAATTCTAAATATAAATGATTTTGATTAAAGAATTGTTATCTAGAGTCGTTTCAAGTTTGATGTTTGACCAAAAATGAACAACACCCTCAAAAACATATTACAAATTTACCATATATAATGAAAAAAAAATTTTACTATAATTTTGTTTGTATATTAAAGTTAAATTTTATTATAATTATTTATCTTTTACCGTTTTTATTTGCTCTTTACCTATATATTAACTAATACAAATAACAACAACCTAAACACACCACACTGTGTTAAAAAAAAAAAAAATATTTATTTATTTATTGAAAAATAAAAAAAAAATATTCATTTTATTATATTGACACTATATACAACACTAGCAGCGTTATTTTTTATTATAAATAAAGAAATTTAACTTATTCGAAATAAAATCTTGTTTTAATCATTCAATTTAACCTTTTATATAAATTTAAAATTACTGTATCTATTTACAAAAAAAGGTAACTTTAAAAAAATTGAGTTTTCTATGATGCAACACTAATGTTTTTAAAAATACAAACTACTTTTATTGGTTATTAGAAAAATGATCATATCAAGAGGTTAGTTTATAAACAAATATAGTTTAAAAAATTAAATTTTTTAAAATGAAATTTAATTATTTTATAAATTATTATTTTTTTTTTGTTATAAATAGAATAATTTTTTTTTTATTTTATATAAATTCAAAAATCAAAATACAAACAACTTGAAAATGACATTATTTAGTATGTATAGTAATTGTATTTATTTTATAAATAATTCATTACTAATTCTCATTTTATTATTTTACTCCATAGACTCTATCTCTTCATTAGGTAATGCTGGATCTTTATCAAAATCATCAAAATCTATTTCATATGGCAGCTCTTCATCATCACAATCATCAAATGCTGTTCAATGTGGCGGTTGCGGTGGTTGCGGCGGCGGTATTGGTTTAGGCAATGTTGTAGGTGGTGTTGTTGGTTTAGTAGGCGGTGTTGTCGGAGTTGTCGGAGGTGTCGTTGGTGGCTTAGTTGGTGGTCTTCTTGGTGGCGGTGGTGGTAGATGTTCAAACTGCGGCTGCTCATGCTAAATATAGAATAATTGATTATATATAAAACACAAATCAAAATTTATAAATTGTAAATAGATTTTTTCTTAAAATAAAAAAAATAAAATATATTTTTTATTCTACATAAAAACTTTTTTTTATATTTTTTTTAGATCAAAAACATTATCTTTTAATAATATTTTTTTTTAAAATTACTAACTAGTAGAAAATATATATTTTAAAAAAAAAGTAATATTTTTACAAACTATATATCTTTTTAATAATATCTATTAAATTAATTATTTTTTTAATTTTTATCTAAAACCAGAATTTTTTTTTAATATATAACAATCCTATTTAACACTTGGCAGTTAAATAAATATCAAATGATAAGATTGATCATTAATGAAAATTAAAATTTGAAAATAATTATTTGATTTTATATTTTAAAAAAAAATTAAAAATAAAATTAATTTATAATATTATATTTTTTATTTAAAACTAAAAGAATTTTTTTTTTTATTAAACATTTTATTTATTCCCAAACAATACTATTTATTCAAAAAAATGACAATTAGCAGTAATTTTTAAAACTATAAAATAAATAATATTTTTTAAAATAATATTAATATTTTTTTTTTTTAAAATAGGTTCTTTTTCATCATTTGGTACAAGCAATACTTTACAAGTTAATCAAACCCAACCCCTTCTTTCAACATCTCCAAGTAATTATGGAGGTAATGGCTTTTCATTAGGTGGTTTGTCATCGTCTTATGGTGGCAGTGGGCAAGGATCTAATATTTTGGCAACAAGTGCCAGCTCATGCACCGTTTTAACACATACATTCCAATTTGAAGGATGTCCATGGTAGTTATAACCCTTATTTAATAAAATTGTATTTGTAATTTATTTATTAAATTATTTTATTTATAAAAATAAAAAAAATAAAAAACTATTTAAAAATTATTTTTATTTTCATATCTTTTTTTAATTATAAAGTTATGGTAATTGTTATTTAACAAATACATTGGTTATTGATTAAATGCTTGGTGTTAAAAGGAGTGTGATAAAGCTGCACTTTTTCTACACTCTTCTTCATATGATTTTCTATCTGAATTATAGAGAGCAGATCTTGAAAAATCTAATGGGCTATTAATGTCTGGATTTTCGAGTAAGACATCGAGGGAAAGCATTATTTTTGAAACTGTTAAAGATGGTGACCACATATTATTTAAAAGATAAAGGCAAACACTACCACTTCTATTAGTGTTAACATGATAGATAGGTGTTACAAATAAAACTCTTGGTGATGAAAAAGGATAGTTGGGTGGGAAAGATACAGAGATCTTAAACTTACCTCCCTCATATAGACCTCCTGGTTTGCCTGTCATAATAATTGACCATTGAGTGATATTGCTGTGATCCATGGTTAATTGGAATCTTGATAAAGTACCATTGTTGTAATCTTCCATAAATGAATCATACTCTTGAAGAATTCTTTTTGAATTTTGTGGAGCGAGGCTTGGTGCTACTGATTTAGGGTTTTCTGGAGATTTTAACGATAAAGTTTGAATGTTTGGTATCTTTTCTGGAGATTTTAACGATAAAGCTTGAAAGTTTGGTATTTGAGCATCAAAAGTGTTTGTTTTTCTAAAAAATGGATTTATTAATGGAACAACTCCACCTCCTGGGAAAATAGATTTGTCACCAAAAAATGAATAAAGTTCCAAATCATTTTTAACACTCAATAAAATTTCTCTTGGTGAAACTAATACACGTTTTGCTTGTTGGGCATTGTTTATTGATAATTCGATAATTTCGCTTAAAAAAAATTCGAGGGATGCAGTTAAATATACCATTGATTTCATTGTGATTCTGCATGAATAGTTCATCTGTTTAACCTTTCTTTTAATAAAATTTGGATTAATAGTAAGACCAGTATTCTTTTTATCATCATTAAATTTTGTCACAGCTTTTAAACCTTGAGTAATTGCTATTTTTGCTAAATCACCCTTTAAATTTAAACGAATTGATGTTTGAATTTCACGTGGAGTTAAAGTTTTTTTTTTGTTAACATTTAAGATGTTGAATGCTTCCTCTACAACTCGGATAATAAAATCTCTCGAAATACTTATCAAAATATCTACACTTTTAGCAGCTATTTTGTATTTTTGATCGCCAATATTTTTTAATAATGTTCTAATAAAGTATGCCTCTCTTGTGTTATTTCTTTTTCTTCTCATTTTATAAATAAAATTTATAACAAATTTATTAATTTTAAAAAATATTTTAAAAACTAAAAAAAAAAAAAAAAAAAAAAAAAAAAAAAAAAATTTTTAAAAAAAAGAGTTAAACAAATTTGAAAAAATTTGGAAAGTTTTCCAATTAAACTACTAAGATATTTTGCTTTTTTAATAAATAATATTTTTTCAATAAATAATAAATTTACAATAAATAAATGGATAAAAAAATTAGATTTTTTAATTGAAGACTATAAATAATTTATTGATATCATACTTTCTTTTATTTAACTTTTTATAATAATTTAAAAAAAACTCGAAAAATTAATGAATGAAGTTTTTTTTTTACCTATTATAATTGCTTAATAAAGTTTCTTAATTTTTCTAAATATTCACTTTTTGAAGCGGAATGAACAGCAGTTTGATGTGTGTGTTTGTCATAAACGGTCCAAAGTTCTTTTGGTTGATTAGATTTTTCATAGAGACGAACAGATTCGATGTGTGGTACTACTGGGTCGTGAGTTGCGTGAATTAAAAGTAATGGTTTTGGTGAAATTTTATCTACATAATTGATTGGTGTATCATTTTCGGTGATGTTGGTGTCTGTGAAAAGAATACGCTTTTCGGTGATCATTAAGATAGTTTTTACTATCCATTCTGGTGGATTCTTTGGTAAGAGAATTTCATCATATGGTGCTTTGATGAATGGGAAGAAAGAGCTTACACCTTGATTTAAAAATCTAAAAATGTTGTGTCTCCAGGCGTTTTGGGCATTTGAATATGGACTTTCTGCAATTACACCATCGATTAAATCCTTATCTTTGGCACCAGCAATAATAACAGAACCACCACCAAGGGACATACCAGTGAGAATAATCTTTTTGCAATGTTGGTTATATTTTTGATTTGGATCCTTTAATAATCTAATAGCAGCACGAACATCTTTATGTTCTCTATAGCTATAACCAATTCCACGACCTAAGCCATCACTTTGACCTACCCCATCAATTGAGTCGTATGTTAAAATGGAGATACCTTCATTGTGATAAACTGGGATTTGACTGAACCACTCGTAACGATCTCTACCTGAACCATGAACTGAAACAATACAAATATTTTGATTATTTGATTCCTTGGATGGTACCCACCAACCATTAATTGTTAAATTTGCATTATCGAATGATTTGAATGATATATTTTCGTATTCTATTGAAAATTCGCTCATTGGATTGGTAGTAGTATTAGCAACAACTCCACGCCACCATGGGAAATATAATAATGCTTGTGAACAAAATCCAATAAATATTAATGGTATTAAAGTTGATAATAAACCAATTACAATTGATGTTACTAATAAACATTTTCTGAAACCACCACCTTGGGTTTTTTTATTTTTATCTGTTGTTGTTTTATTTATTTTTTTGTTCATTTTTTTTTTCTAATCAACATAATAATATTTATATAAAAAAATAAAAAAAAAAAAATGAAAGGATGAATGGTCGAAAAAAAAAATAATATATATTATTTATTTTTTTTTTTTTTTTTATTTTTTTTTTTATTTTTTTTTTTAAAAGATATTTTACGAAGAACCAGAACCAAAAATTTTTTAATTTTTACAGAAACTGATGGTTTTACATTTTACCATTTTTATTATTTTTGAAAACCGTTAAAAAAAAAATACACAGATATTAATTTATCTCTTTATTATTTTTAATTAAATGGTTTTAGAAAAAATAGAAATTAATTTTTATTTTTATTTTTTTTAATTTTAGAATTTATAATATAATCTATATTATAAATTACAGAAAGTGTTTATTTTGGTTGGATTTTATCCAATACTTTTTTAACTGATGGTCTTTCAGCTGATTCATTAAGCCAACGGAAAACATTTGGGTAGGTTTCTTTGGTAATAATTTCATAGTAACCTTTTAAAGCATAAATACTCCAACCAAGAGAACAAATATCAGCTATAGTGAATTGATCACCTGCAACGTATTTATTAGTTGAAAGTTGTTTTTCTAAAACGGTATACAAACGTTTAACTTCTGTTTCAAATCTTTCAATTGCATGTGGAACTTTCTCTGTTGCTCTATTTTTAAAATAATTATCTGAATAATAAAATTATTAATATGAATTTAAAAAAAAAAAAAAAAAAAAAAGAACAAATAAACCTACATTGACCAATCATTGGACCTTGAGCTGACACTTTGGTATTTATAAAATTTATTAGTAAATAATTTAAATATTTTAATTGTTATTATGCCGATATTTACTTTGCCAAAATAACCATTCATTAACAGATGTATTTAAAGCTGGATTGGTTTTATAGTCTGGATAAAGTTCTGTTAATTGATATTTTTGAGATAGATAGATCATAATTGCTGCAGATTCGAATACTGGAATGGGTGGATTAACAGTATTATCTTGGATGGCTGGAATTTTATTATTTGGACTGATCTACATAGAAAAAATAAAATAATTTTAATAATTTGTTTTATTATTTCTTTTATTATTAAAAAATAATTACTTTTAAAAAATCTGGTTTAAATTGGTCACCATTTTGGAGACTAATTGCATGATAGTTATGTTGAATGTTAGCTTCATTTAAGAAAATTTCAACTTTATAACCATTTGGTGTTGTTGAGGTATAGAAATCAATTGACATTTTTTTAAAAATATAAGTAATAAAAAATAGATAAAAGAAATATGAGTTTAATTATTAGATGTTTGTGAGTTAATGAAAATAAAAAAAAATTAAAAAATTTTTATACAAAATGAAATTAAAAAAAAAAATTTAATTTAAAAAAAAAAAAAAAATTTAATTTAATTAATTTTTATTTTTTGGGGGGTTCCAGAACATTATTTTTTTACTCTTCCCTATAAGGCGGTGAATATAATTTTGTTGTAAATGGAATCCTGATCAATAAAATTAACTTTCAGTAAATAAAAAAAATATCTTTAATTAAATTATTCCATAACACCTAATTAATGTAGTTTTTTTTTTTTTTAATAATTTTATTTTATTTTATTTTTTTAAATTTGTGGTTCGATAACTTGTTTCATAATTCTTCTAATATTACGTGAAGTGTGACTAAAGTGTTGAATATTAGTTTGAGTATTATGTTTAAAATCAATTTGGTATGCCCAATGACCACTCTTGACTGATCTAACATCAATATTTGGATTTAATAACCATTCTTGATAGGCTTCTTCGACTACTTTTGAGGCATCATTGTCATAATCTAACCATCCACCGTGTTCAAATTGCCAAACTGGGGTTTCGATTGGTTTTGGAATTGCACCTGAAACTTCAACACCTAAATTGAAACGACCATCTAATGCAAGTAACCAAACACAAGCATTTTTAATGTAACGAGAGGTACCGGCAGTGAAATATTCAGAGAATAATTTAGTGAAACCAGTATCTAAAACTACACGACCACAATTTTTGTCCATTTTGGTTGGGTCTGAAACTAAAATGATAGTATTACCTTCAGATGAAGTGGCTAAAGTTTCAAACTTGTCTGATTTCTTTGCGAATGAGGAAATGGTGACACCTTCGTAGAGATTATTAATACCAGTGGTAATTAAATGGCTTGAAAATTGTTGTTTACCTTCGCCAGTACCAAGAGATAATTCTTGTTTACCCATTTCATTACCTGTAGCTTCGATACCGAATAATGCTTTTGAAACCCAATTACCTTGGAAGGTGTATGGATGATTATCGTACCAAACGAATAAACCTTTACCAGATTCGTGGAATTTTTTAACAGCATCAACAAATTCTTGTTCGGTGGTGGTTGTGTCATCGGTATAATTGGAAACAATTAAAGCAATATCGGCAGTTGGTAATTTTTCAACAAATTCTTTTTGGGTTCCAGCATCTACAATATTAAAACCTTTGGACTTTAATGCGTTTCTGCTGTCTGTATCTATGTATTTGTAGAATTTGCCAATTAAAATTGTGAATTGAGTAAAAGCACCTTCAAGACCAAGATCGTGTTCGAGACCAGTTGGGTTATTGAATTTATCGAGTTCGACATTGGTTTTATGAGTACCAGCATTTTCAGTATAGAAATGTACAATACTACTACCCTTTTTAATTGGTGCAAAGAAAGAAGGTTGTTTGGCAAGAGAGTTGGAATTTGAAGTGGTGTTTGTTGAGGCACTTGAGGCACTTGAGGCGGCTTTTCTTTTCTTTGGTCTTGCACCAGCAGCTTTTCTCTTTGGAGTATCTTCTTTTTCTTCATCAGTATCACCACCTTCAGCATCTTCAGCTTCATCCTCTTCATCAGATGATTCAAGTAAACCTAATTGCTTAGCTTTTTCGGCTGCTTTCTTTTGCATGTATCTAACAAATTCATCCATTTCAATATAACCTTTACCGTTGGTATCGCATTCTGCTAAAATTTTATCAATTCTTTTGGTTAGTGGTCTTTTTCCCATGGCTCTAATGACACCTAAATAATTTAAATAAAAATAAATATTTAATTAATATTTGCATTATATTATGTTTAAAATTTAAATATTTTTATTTGCTTACCTTTTAATTCTTCTCCACTGATTTTACCATCACGGTTAGTGTCAAATAATCTAAACATCATTTCTAATTGAGCTTCACTTGGACCAGTATATTCAGTGCCTAATAAATTGAATAAAGAAGCTTGACGTTGTTTAGAATTGGTAATTAAATCTAAAGCTTCTCTAGCTTTCTTTCTATTTCTGGTTTCAATATATTGGCCTGCATCTTTTCTTTTATTTTTATTATCACTTGACATTTTTTGATTTTGTTAAAATAAAAACTATAAAATACAATTATAAAAAATTAGTTATTGCTGTTGCTGTTGTTTTTTAAAAAATAAATATTCAAAAAAAAAAAAAAATATTTTAATCAAAAAATATTTAAAAAAAAATATTTAAAAAAAAAAAAAATAATCTTTTTCACAGAAATTTAAAAAATATCTAAAAAAAAACCAATTTCCTATAATTTTTTTTTTTATTGCTATTAAAAAAAATTATAATAACGATAAACCAAAAATAATAATAGAATATTAAATAAATTATTTTTGCCGAAATAGTATTTGAATACCGATCTACATATATTTAAATATAAAAAAATTAATATTATCATATCTTTCATAAGATATGAGTTTTATTTAATTATTTTTTAAATATTAAAAATCTTTTTTTTTTCAATAAATTTTTTTTGAAGCATTTCTTGTAAGTTCACCTCTTAAATCGCTTTGCATTAACATTTTAACCTATTAAATAGTATGATATTAGTATATATCTATATAAACAAAGTAAAATTTATATTGAAATATGTGGAACTTACTTGTTCGGTGGGTATACCTAAACCTAATAACCAGCCTAATTTTGTGGCGGCAGTTTCGACAGTCATATCATATCCACTAATTGCACCAGCATCCAATAATGATTTACCAGTGGCATATTGCTTGAGATTTACACTACCACGAAGACATTGACTTGTTACAACGACAATGACACCTCTTTTTACAGCTTTTGTAATAGCCTCGAGGAATTTACTTTTTTTACCTGGAGCATTACCACTACCATAAGATTGTAAAATTAAACCTTCTAAGGGTTCAGCTAAAAGATTTTGGAAAGCATCATCGCTGAAACCTGGAACCAAGTGAAGCACCGCTATGTTTTTATTTATTCTTTCGTGCACACGGAAACGGCCTTTTGGCTGATTTAAAACCAAGTCAAAGTTGATATTAATTTCCATACCAAGAGTTGCTAGCGGTGGGCAATTGGGTGATTCGAAGGCATCTAAGCTCCATGAATCAACTTTACGACTTCTACAACCACGTAATAAATTATTATTGAAAAAAATGCATACTTCAGGTAAATCAACTTTACTTGCAAAAATTATTGTGGTTAAAAGATTACGTCTTGCATCATTGATTAGCTCTGCAAATGGAATTTGTGAACCTGTTAATACTACTGGTTTACCTAAATTTTCCAACATAAATGATAAAGCGCTTGCTGTATATGCCATTGTATCTGTACCGTGCAAAATAACAAATCCATCATAATCATAATAATTCTTTTCAATTAAATGACAAATTTTTACCCAATCCTCGTGTTCCATATCTGATGAATCAATGGGTGGGTCAAACTGAAAAAAAAAAATTAATATAATTATTTTTTAGGTGTTTGTGAACTATAATTTTAATTGACTATTCTTACTTCGTAGATTGTATATGTTGGCATATCTAATGATTTCATTTCTGGTAAACCTTGAAGTTGTTGCTTTAAATAATGTGGCTCGGGTCTAAGAGTACCTGTAACTGGATCTCTTTTCATACCTAATGTACCGCCAGTATAAATTATATAAATGTTTCCTTTCTTTTTGAGATACGAAGAGCTTTGTACAGACATTGTGGATTTGGATGACGATGATAAATTGTTTATTGAAATATCCTCGTATATCTTATCATCTTCACAATTCATATTTATATGATTATGATTACTATTATTTATTGGTATTAAAGTGGCTGTTACTTCATCTACTGTATTGCTATTGCTGACTGTGGCTGTAGCTGTAGCTGTATTTATTCCTTTTGTACTCGATCTTAAATTTATATTATTATTGGTTTCTGGGTTTGTGGTTGCTGCATTATTTTTATCCGAGATATTTGGGGTTTTATTTGAATGTGATTGAATATTCATTTTTTTATAAAAAAAATAAATAAAAAATATAATTATTAACTATAGTTATTATAATATATAGTTGCTTAAAATAAAAATATAATAAATAAATAAAAAAATAAATAAAAAAAAAAAAAAAAAAAGTATTATTTGTTCAAAATAAATTAAAAAAAGAAATTTTAAAAAAATAAAAAAAATAAAAATATTTATTTTTTTTTTTTTATTTAAAAAAATTTAAAAAAATATTTTAATCGAGTTAACCTATTGCCCTTTTTTTTTTTTATTTTAAAATTTTTTTTTTTTTTGTTTTCCTTATCTCTAAATATTTGTTTTAAATTATTATAATTGATTATGATAATATAACATAATTTCTCTTTTTATAAATTTATTTTCTTTTTTTTTATAAAAAAGAAAAATATAAAAATTAAAAAATAAAATAATTTATGCAAAAGCCACATTGCAGTAAATAATATAAATAATTAATAATATAAATAATATTTATATAATTAGATAATACAAATATAAATACTATAGATACCAAAACAATAATATAAATAGTATAAATAATAATAATAATAATAATAATAATAATAATAATAATAATAAAAATAATATAATATCAAAATGACATTATTAAATAGAGAATATGAAAGATTAAAAAGAATATGGAGAATAATTTGGAAATCATATTTTATAAGACAAAGTATTGTTTTGTTCCAAGTCATACTATTAATGTATTTAATTAGTCAAGCGGTTAACAAATTTCAAATGTTAGATAATAAAACAACCATTAAAGATTTCAGCAATTCAGAATGCAAAATTAAAAATAATTTAGAAGCAAACCCAGATTGTTTCAAAGTAGGATATGATTTTAAAAAAGTGTTGTTCTTCTATAATGATGGTTTAGCAAGAGATTTATCAAATGATTTAGTACAGTTATTTAAAGACAATGGTAATATATTCAGAATTCAAAATGAAGGTTTTCCAGCATCATATGCTGTATTCTCTAGTTATATTACTGGTAATCCACCAACTAATTTTATGGGTGCCCCAATTTTATCAGATAATTTAATATATCAACTCGCAAGTAATGACATACCTATAGCTTACTATGGCACCCGTATGCCTGCTTATGACGTTCTCGAAAAAGGTAAATACTTTGAAAGAGTTAAGCTCGAATATGTTTCTAAAGATAACACAAAACTATATACAAATTTATTCGAATGTGGTGGTACTGCAGAAACTTGTTCAAAAAAATTCTTAAATGATTTAAAAGAAGATGGAGTAAGTAAAATTTAATAATAAAAATATTTATTTAATAATTAAAATGTGTATTAATTCATTTTATTATTTTAGCTAAGTTCATTTTTTTCAGGTGATATTATTGATGAAAGAAACCATCATACAGGTGATAAACATGACAAAGTTACATTAGAAATTATAAAGAATTGGATAAAGAATATGAGATACATCAAAGAATGGGTAGATGAAAACCCAGAGTATCTATTGGTTATATTCAGTGACCACGGTGGTAAATTAACATCAGAAACAGCAGCCCATGGGGCAAATAATGGTGGTAATGAAGCTTTTATGATTATTTATAACTCTCAATTAACACCATTACCAAAAGAAAAACAAGATAAATTCATCGACCAAGTTGATGTTTGTTCAACAATTTGGCAACATTTCGCAGGAAGTGGTGTAAGCTTACCAGCAGAAAATATTGGTAAAATCGCCCCAACAACAATAGATAAAGAAAAGATTTACTATACTTTAAAATTAAACGCAAATCAATTAAATCGTTTTGGTAACCATTGGAACTACAAACTAAAAGAGTCATCATATAATGAGGCTGTGGAATCAAAGGATAAAGATATCGACCATTCAATTGAACTTTTCACAAAATATATCAACTCTTTAAAACTTCCATTTTTAAATCTCAAAAAGTTCCCAACTACCGAAGTTGTTATGTTCCCACTTTCAATTGGCTTATTAGTTTATATGCTTTTATCGAAACAATATGGTAGCTTCAAGAATCTTCAACTCCAATTCCGTTTAAACTTTGCTCATGTCGTTATACCATATCTCATTATAGTTGGCATTACTGGTTTATTCAGTGGCTTTTGGGTTCTTTATTGGCACGATGATAATGAATCTATTCATATTTTTGTTGCCTCATTATTAACAACTTTAGTAATGAATTATTCATCAACTGCAACAAAAATCGAAATAAATACAAACAAAATCAGTATAAATGGTGATGATTTACCACAAAGCAGTAATGATAATAATAATAATAACAATAATGATAGAAGCGAAGATTTTGATAACGAAGAAAATGAAGAAGAAGAAATAGATGATTATATAGAAATGAAGCCACAATCCTCCAGTCACAGTATAGAAATTAATCATAATAGTCCATTAAATAATAATCATTTAAATAATGTAATTAATAGTGCATTCTCTCCATCACTTTCATCATCAGGATCACATAACTCAACTGTAGTTTCAGAATTTAGCGAACTAACACAACCATTAGCTTCAGAATATAGACCTCCAAACTCATGGGTTTTAATTTACTCTTTTTATATTTTCTTTATGGCTGTAAATTTATTTTTGTTGACAATTCCATTAGAAGATTTATTATTGGTTGTAAGTTTATTTTAAAGAGCAAAGGTTTATAAATTTATTAATTATACTAATTTTTTTTATTTAGCACTTTTATAAAGGTTCATTTTTAATTGCTTTTGTTTATTTGATGGTCGAATTTTATATTCAAATTAAAAAACTAAAGGCCCATTATGCAGATAAAAACCAACCTAAGAAAGAATATTTTTATTCAGTTTATTTAAAATTTATCATCTATTCACTAGTAATGATTTCAATTTATTACTATGACAAAGCATGGAAGCAACAACATAGCATACGTTATGAGTTAGCATTTTTTGTATATTCAGTTATATTTATTCATTCAATAGCATTATTATTTAGCTCAAGATATTATCAGTCCGATATAGTTTTACCAATTTCAATGCTTTTATATTATTTATCTAATGATAAAGTAAGTTTTATATATAATAAACTCTATAATTGCAAACTATACTAATAAATGCATTAATATTTTAGGAAAGATTATATTTAGTTTTATTTGTTATACCACAGTTTTATTGTATCAGTAATGTATTTTATTTCAAACTATTCAATGTATTCCAACCAATATTAAAACAATATAGAAAAGCATATTCAACATTAAGAACAAATAATTTGGATGAAAGAAAGATGAAGCAAATCTTCAACTATAGCTTAAAAGATATCAATTTCTTTACAGGAATAACAGATCATTTCTTACCATTTGTAGTGTTATTAATGATAAGTATAGCATTATCATGTTTCCAACTTATGAAGATGAATTTCCAAATAGGTGATGTTGCAATTTATGTACCAGGTGTATACGATCCTCCAACCAAACCAATCTTTTCTGGTATTGTTATGGGTGTTCATAAATTAGGTTACTTTTTCTTATTGGGTGCTTTCTTAATTAAACTTGCAAATCCATGTCCTCCTGCTCTAGTCTTAAAACAATGGAATATTGGCAATGGTAAAACTATCTCATTTGGCTACAAGTCTAAAAGCAATGCAGATTACAATCGTATCGTTGAAAGCCTAAATACTCAAGTCTGGGGTTTCCTCATGTTGCTTTTATTATGTGGTCTTTTCTTTTTCCATTTAGGTTATTATAATTTTATGATAACAAAATCTTTTGTTTTCACCGTTACTCTTAGTGTGGTGGTAGTATTCTATGGGGTTTCTTTGGTTTGCTCTTCTTTAGGTGGAATTTTTCAAAATCTTTTCTACAAATACATTTTAAAAAAATCAATCATTCATCATAGTTTACCAAATTTAAATTCAAGTTTCGATCCAAACAATTTCCAATATAAAAAAATAAGTTATAATTAAAAAAGTAAATAAAATAAAAGTTTATTTATTATTTTATAATGTGGTGGTTTACTTTTTCATTAATTTTTATGTGTGGGTTAAAATTTTAATGAATTTTTTTTTTAATTTAAATTGTGTGGGTTATAGTTTTATGAAATTTCTTAATTCGGTATTGAAAAATAATTATTATTATTTTTTTTTACAAAATATCTTTATATTTCTTTGTATATATAAAATGTATAAATACTTTATATTATTTATTTTGGTTTTATCCATTGGATCCGTTTTTTCTTTAGAAGTTGACAAACCTCCTAAATATTATATCATTGATATCTTTTTTAAAGGTTGTAATGATATTATTAGAACCACATTAGATCCCGATACTTTTGAATCTGCTTGTTATGATATGGAAAAATCTTGCCCCAATATCACAGCAGGACTAAAGATTTCATATATATATGGTAATCTATATGAATATAAAAGATTCACAGATGGAAAATGTGATAAAAACGATAATTTTAATAGTTTCAATTGCACAGAAAAAAATATTCCAAAAGAAGCAATTATTCAAGATGACTTTTCAGATGGATTAGCAGTAAAATGCTATGAAACAAGTGCCCCACCTTTGAACGGCAATGGAAATGTTACAAGAGTAAACCCAAAATACAACCTTGAGGATTCTATTGACCTGGATACAATAGTTGAAAATAAAGAAAAACCAAAAACCAAATCCCCTGTCCCAATTCAGAATGAATTAGAACCAGATTATAATGCAGGCTCATCTAAACTAATTATCAATTATTTAATTTTGGCATTGTTATTTTTGTTATCATTAATATTTAATTAATACAAAATAAAAAATACTCATTTTAACTTTAAACATCAATTTTTTTTTTTTTTTTTATGTATTTATTTATACAATAATATACAACAGCCAAACTGTTTGTTTTTAATTTTATTTAATTATTCGGTATAGTAAAAAAAAATGTATTAAATATATATATAAATTAATATATGTTATATTTATAAATTGATTACTTTTATATTTTGTAATAATATTACTATTATTATTTGCTACTATTTATTATTATTTATAATGGATCTAATTTATTAAGTGGAATAACAGATTTTTTCCAATAGTGATATTCATTCCATTGTTCATCAACTGAATTCCTATTTGCATTTTGACAAGGGAACATATCTTGAACCAATTCGTTGATTTTTGTATAAGTTTTATTATAAGTTGTATTTGTAGTATTAATGACACCTAAAGCATTAATAGTAAAAGTTTTACCCTTTGGTACCCCTACAGCATTATATGAAATAGCATCAGTATTACGATTGCCAAATCCTGCATAAAATGGTGACATGGTTGTTGGGAATATATTCTGTATATCTTGAAGACATGCAATCTTGAATTCTTCTGGATTTCTTCTAATAACTTCACGATTAAATGATGTTAATAAACGATTTGGTGACATAAATACTGGACCCTCTGGGAGTGTAAATGGAATACTTTGTCCCTGAATGCCGCCAATTGAGTTTGGATTAGATCCTGTTTGTTTAACTGAACTAATATATGTTCTAGTTAAGTTGGCTTGACCTATAGCTCTAGATGTTAAATAAATAATCTGATATCCATTGGCTTTAATGTTTGAATACAACTCTGCTACACCAATGTGTGACCAATCTTTGCCGATTAATGGTAAAACTTGTCCAAAAACATCAGACCTAAAGAAAATAAAAAAAGTAATTAATAAAAGATTTTTTTTTTTTTTTTTTTTTTTTTTTTTTTGACTTACTTTGTAATTGTGCCATCAATATCTGAAATAACAATTTTTGAAGTATTATCCCATAAATAAATTGATGCTGAAACTTCCTTTGTGCCAAGAAGTGTGCTTGATACAACAAAAGTAATTCTATTGATACCCTTTTTGAGTCCCAAAGATTTTAATTGATCTGAAGTTGGTTTTAAGGTTTTTTTTGTATATTTTCTTTGGAAATCTTCAATAACAATATTACTAAGAGGGATACTACCTGAAGATAATGAGAGTGGATTATTAAATGGTATTGGCTCTGATCTAACAGCGCTACTACCTGGAATATTATTATATGATGATGGTGGTGATGATGATGGTGAAATTTGTTGTTGAAGTTGTTGTTGGTGCTGTTGTTGACTTTGGATTTGGTTTTGATTTTGATTTTGTACATTATTACTATTTTTCCAGAGCCATCCTCTCCAATATGATGACTGTTTAGTTGGTGGTTGTTGTTGGGCTATTGCAGCAGTTGCAGTATTGTTTGCATTTGATGCATTCGATTCGATACTTTTATTTGCACCACCAATTTGTAATCTATCTTCAATATCTTTTTTCTTTAAATTGTTTAGAGATTCTTGAGTGATTGGTCTACGATAGATTAAATATGAAAGAATAATATGACCAGCAATGGACCATGGATAATATTGATCATTGATTTTAGCGACAAGATGTGGGTTCTTTAATAGAGTAGCATCTGAGCAAAAATGTTCGAAACTAATAAGATATTCTATAAAGAATGCTTCTTTTTCTTCTGGTTCAGACTGAAGAGCTTTATCTAAAATTAAGTGTCCACACAATGAAAGACTGATAGAAAAGTGATCAATTAAACTATTATGTTGTTGATTATTATTGTGGCTATTATGGTGATGGTTGTGATGAAATTGTGAATGTTGAAGTGTTGGATATTCGGATTCATAATTTAATTTTGATAAACTTTCTGTAATACTTGATGATGGTGGCTCTAATGTCGAAATAATGGTTGTTCCTTTAGATTTATCAATTGATGGTTGTTCATGATTTATAATTTCATTACCTTCTTTAACAATTTGAGCATATGAAATACTTGGAGTTATATTTAATTCTGTTTGTTGTTCTATCTGCTGTTCAATTTGTTGTTCAATTTGTTGTTCAATTTGTTGTTCAATTTGTTGCTGCTCTTGTTGTTCTTGCTCCTCATCTAATAAAAACATATTGTCATCACCACTGTTATTATTTTCATTAATTTGTAATGTTGCTGATGTTGAAGTAGTATTTTTAACTATAAAATCTGGTGTTATTTTTGAAGAGGAGGATAATTCATCGCCGCTACCTGCTTCGATATCTATTTGACCAACGCTACCACCGTGAGATGATTGATCTTTTTTAAACATTTTCAAAAGTGAGCTCATTCTGGACCAAGATGATGGATTACCCTCTAATGAGGATTGATGCTCTGGAAGCATTGATGGGTTAATTGGAGTATTATTTGGTGTTGGAATTGGTATTGAATGTTGTTTATTATTTGGATTCATGATAATAGGTACACCCAAACCATCATCCGAACCGATTGATGATCTTATTGATGAGTTTATTATTGGTGAAACTGGCTCACTTATATTATTATTATCAATTGATGATGTAGTTAATATTGGTGATGATGGTGACGTTAAATCTACAATTTCTTCAACCCTGTTACCAGTTGATGTTGATTGTAAATCTGAATTTAACGGAATTGAAATATTTGTTTTAGTAGTTGAAAGTGTAATATCGATATTTGTTGGTTGTGATTGCTCTGATTGTTGTTGTAGTGGTTGTGACTGTATATGTTGTTGCGATGGATGTTGTTGCTGTATTTGTTGTTGTAGTGGCTGTATTTGTTGTGGTGCTGTAGGTTGTTGTTTTCGACGAATACTAAATTTTGGGAAACCGCCCCATCTCCAAAACTTTGGTTCAGATTCAGAATCTGAGCTTGGTTCACTTATTGATGTTGTAGTAGTTGTTGTTGATGAAGTCAATAATCCTTTTGGTGGAGAGTTACTTGGACTTTCAAATGGTGTAACATGTTCACCACAATCAATTATATAGCTACCAATTGGAGATTGTGATTCAACAGTTACTGGACTTGATGGTCTTGAGCTACTTAAAGGTGATGTTGTTTTTCTATTTTGTGGTTGTTGTTGTGGTAATGGTTGTTGTTGGAAAATTTGAGTAGTATTAGTTTGTTGTAAAAGCATTTCCTCCAAAGCAGATGTTAATGGTTTCATTTCTTTTGAATCAAAGGAATCTCTTTTATTGGAACCTGATTTAACGATATTTGAATTAATTGGTGATGTAGTTGTGGAGGAAACAGTGCTGGTGCTTGTATGAAGAGTTGCTAGCGTATTACCTGATGCTGTAAATGTGGTAGCTGATGTAGTTGCTGTAGTGGTGGTGGTAGTGGTGGTACCATTCGATACTGCTCTTCTATTACCCTTTGGTGATGGAATTGGGGAAGTTGCTAAAATATCAGGAACTGGTTCATCTGATTCCTCCACGAAAAATGCCTCACCAGCTTGGCCCAACTTCATTTGTAAATCTGTTTTCTGTCCATTAACATAAATTGATATTACTTTTGCTGAACTTTGAATTAATTGTAATTTACCAAATCTAACATGAAAAGGAGTACATTTCAATGAGCCATCTAATTGCGGGATTACCAATATATCAATTGCACCACTAAGTGTTGCTGCATTTAAATTAAAGGCATAATGAACTTCGTCAAAAAGTTTTTCAACATAATTCATTCTTTTTTTTCTTTTTTTTTTTTTTTTCTTTTTTCTAATTTTTTTAAATAATAAATAAAAAAATATTAAAAAAAATATTTCTTTTCTTTTCTTCTTTTTATTTCTTTCCTATATTGTAAAAACTTTATTTTTGTGGTTTGATAGCTATAATTTTATAAAAAAATTATTTTGATTAGATATTTATCCATATGAATTTTTATTTGATTTATACAATAACAAAAAATAAATAAAAAAACAAAAGAATTATTAATTGAAAATAATATAATAAAAGAAATAAAATAAAATGTATGTATGTTAAAATAATAAAAAAAACTGCCCAACTTTATAAATTTTTTTAAAATTTAAAACAAAAAAACAAAAACAAACAAGAAAACAAATATGTAATAAATTTAATATATCTTAATTACAATTTATGTGTAGGTGGGTTATTATTGAATATTGTTATGACTATTTTTTTTCAAAAACATTGATAATTTGAAAAAATAAAATAAATTAAAAATCTAGAAAAAAAAAAAAATTAAAAATTTAAAAAAATTAAAAAAAAAAAAAAAAGATTTTTTTTATTTTTTTTTTATTTACGTGTTATAAATAAATAAAAAAACTATAGTTTTTTTTTTATAGTTTTTGACAACAAAACAATTATTACTTATTTATTAAAAAAAAAAAAAAAAGAAAAGAATAAATATAAATTTATTATTAATGTTTAAAAAAGTTTGGGAGAGTGTGGGTTTTATTTTTTTTATAATTTCTCTTTAAGTGTGTGAAATTTAATTTAAATAAATTTAATAAATAATTATGTGGTTTTAAAAATTTTAAACACATATACAAACACACATCCACACACACGCATAAATTAATAGAATATACACACACCATTTTTATTCGACAATGTACAAAATGTTATATGATACTGATACAATATAAAAAATTATAATTATAACACTAGTATAGAATAAAATTAATTAAAACTTGGGCAAAAATATAAAAAAAAAATATAAAAAAAGAGAAATAGATCTTACAATTATTATAAAATACACATAATGTGTTTGATGGTTATTTACAACTCTATAGAGTAAAAATATAATATTGAACAATATTATATATACCCATTAACATGATTTATTATTTTTTTTTTTGTTGTTGTTATTATTATAATTAAATAGATACTAACCTCTACAACTGAATATATTTTATTATAATTGATTTATTTTATAAAGTTATTTTATTTATATAAAAAATTAATATAAAAATAAATAAATAATCTATAGTATTACTATTTGTTTTTGTTTTTTTTTTTTTGATTTTTTAAATTAAATAAAAATGAGAACAAAAAAAAAAAAATTTCAATAATTAATTAAATAAAAATAAAATAAAATATTTTAATTTTTTAATATTTTTTTATTTTTTATTATTATAATTTAAAAATTAACCTTTTTTATATAAGTGTGGGAAGATTCTTAAGGGTACAGTGCTGGTTTAATAATTATTAAAAAAAAATTCTTTGAAAGAATTTATTTTTTTTTTTTTTTTTTTACTCTGATCAGAAAAATCTTCATAATTTTAAATATTATAAATAAAACATAATTAGTTTTAAATCAAAATAATAATAATTTTTGGTTGGGAATTTTGGTTTTTTTATATAAAAAATAGAGTATAAAAATTTGATAAATAGTATCATGGTATTTTTTAAAAAAAAAAATTTAATCTACTTTGAGTCATTTGATCAATTTTTTTCAAAGAACATTTAGAAAAATAAATCATTCTGAAATATTCATAACAAACATTAAAAAATGAGCCAACTATTAATATTTCACACTCCAAAATTTACTAAAAATCTATTTTAAATGAAGATTTAACACTCAATCAAAAAAGATAAAAATTAACAAAAAATGGGTTAAATAACTATTAAATTTTCAAAAATAAAAAAAAAATAAAAAAAAAATTAAAATTTTAATTTTTTTTTTCATTTTTTTATTTTATTTTACAACATTTCATTTATATATAAAAATGTCAGAAAATAACAACAATAATAATAATACAGGTAGCTCAATTAATTTTGATGACTACAAGATCGTGGCACATGTTTCTTCATCTACTGCAGGTTCGTCGAGTGGTGATTTTCATGTATATCGTAATCTTAGAAGAAAAGAGACATTAAGATTAGAGGAAATGGAAGAATTATCGAAAAAAGTATGCATTACAGTTTTACATTGCTATAAAAGTCGAAACTCGCTCAACTAATAATATTATTTTTTTTTAATAGGAAGCAGAGAATGAAAAATTTTTACAAAGAAGAGAACAAGCTAAATTAGAGGAAGAGTTAAAGGTTAAAAAGAAATCTGAACAAAGAAAGAAGGCAAAGCAAAGAAAAACCCACTCTGAAATAAGAAAAAAATTAAAAGCTCAACTAGACACAAAAAAAGAAGAAAACACTGACAAAAAAGATAACGATAATGATAACGATAACGATAACGATAACGATAACGATAATAACAATAATAATAATGAAAAAAAAGATAACGATAAATAATAAACGATCAATAAAAAACAAACTTGTAAATAATAAACAATATTATATGTAAATAAGCTATTTAAATTATACAAAGATATTATTCCTTTTTTTTTTTTTAAAAAAAGTTTTTTTATTTAATTTTTATATTTACAAAAAGAAACTTCTTATTCGTCATTGTCATAATTTCTATAATCTTCGATTTTACGCATTTTTTTACTGTATGGATTATGGGTGTTTTGTTTAAAGTTTTTGGCTTTATTAAAAAATTCTTTTTCTTTTTCCTTTTCTTTATAATCATCTTCATTGTCTTCATAGCCACCTCTTTCTCGTTTATTCTTATTTTTTGAATCTTTTTTTTTATTTTTATCATTCTTTTTTTCTTTGTCTTTTTTTGTATCTTTATCCTTCTTTTTATCTTTTTTTTTATCTTCCTTTTTATCTTCCTTTTTATCTTTCTTTTTATCTTTCTTTTTATCCTTTCTTTTTTCTTTCTTTTCTTCGTTAACTCTGTAGTCATTAGGGTCTTCATCAGATTGGTCAATAAATTTAACATCTTGATGCTTTGATTTTTTATAACCATTACTATTATTATTATTATTATAGTTATTATTATTATTGTTATAATTATTATTATTGTTATTATTATAACGACCTCTACCTTGTCTTTCGAATCTATTTTCTCTACTATCGAATCTATTGTTTATATTTTTACTGCCAAATCTATTACTATTATAACTGAATCTATCGTTGTGATCATATCTATGAACCTGTTCTTTATTTGTATATCTTCCATTTTCGTAGTCTCTGTTATCTCTATCGTTGTCCCTGCCTCTATAATCACGATCTCTATTGTTTCTATTCCTGTCATAATCTTTATCATAATCTCTATCACGGCTTCTATAGTTTCTATCCCTGTCATAGTCTCTATCATAACCTCCATCATAACCTCTATCATAACCTCTATCATAATCTCTATCATAATCCCTACCATTATCATTTGTAGTATCTACAATTCTTGGGTCGCTGATATCTGAATAATATACATCATCCATATACCTGAGATTTCTTGGAACGCACTGTCTTGGATAATGCCCAAATAAACCACATTTGAAACAAACATAAACTGTACAAGTATTTATATGATGGCCAAACTCGCCACATCTAAAACATGGTTTTTCTTCAATATCTCTTGGGCATTCGAAACTATAATGTTCGTTAAAATCACCACATTTATCACATTGAAATGATTCACCCATATAATATCTCTGTATATATTGTAATAAAAAACTAATTAATAAATCTTTAATAATATTAAAAAATAATAATTATTATTACTTACACTAATTGTGCTTGAGTGTCTTCTTTTACCGCCAAATTTGCCAAAACTAATATTGATATCAACATCTTGGCCATCCTCTTTATTATTGACATTTAATGAGTCCAAAACTTCTTTAGTTTTCATTCTTTGGCTGTTTATAAACTCTTCTTTAATGACCTGTTGATTTTCAAACTCTCCCAAGGTGGCCCTTAACATAAATATATCGTCATCTTCAATAGACAGTGTATCATCATAACCAACAAATGAATTGAAAATGTCCTCTTTATTTTCCTCAAGTTTGATTTTTTTATTTACACCTTCATTGTCATTATCATCTAATTTTCTTTTATTAGTTGCTTTTCCATTATTGGGGGGAGAGGGTGTTGGTGATTTGATTCTACTATTATATTCGATTTCATCCTCTGTACTGTCACTATCTGAAACAATAATTATTGTTTCTGCTTCTGTTGACGATTTTGGCATTATGTTCCCTCTTTTTTTTTTTTTTTTTTTTTCTTGGTTTTGGGCTCGATAATTTATTTATTTTTTTTTTATAATTATTTAATTTTACTAAAATAAATAAAAAAAAAAAAAAGTAAAATTAAAAATATTCAAAATAATCAATTTGATTATTTAATAATTTATATTAAAGATTATAAAAAAATAAAATAAAAGAAATGAAAAATTAATAATTTAAAAAAAAAAAAAAAATAAAAATAAAAAAAAAAACGAAAAAAAAAAAAAAAAATAAAAATAAACTGTTTTTTTTTCCTTAAAAATTTTATTAATTTATTTATTTTTAGATACATTATTATATTTGGTTTAGAAAACTTATTTTTTTTATTTATAAACATAAATTTAACCAATGGCTTGGAAAAAAAAAAGAGAGGTAGGTAAATTTTAAATTTGATATTGGAGTGTCTTATTTTTGGAAATGGGATGGGGTTTTTATTTTTATTATCTATTTAATATATGATAAAAAAGAATATACATTTATTGTTTTTGTAAAGTTATATTTATTCAAATAAAACTTTTTTATATGGCAATGAAGTTAGTAAATTATTTGTTTTTTTTTTTTATGTGTCGAAAAAATTTTATTTTTTTCATTTTTTTTTTTTATTTTTTTTTTATTTTTTTTTAAAAAAATTTTATTTTTTTTTTTTTAAATTTTTTTTCATTATTGATTTATAATCATCAACATAAAATTATATAATAAAGATGCAAATGCAAATTAGTGAATGTTCAATTAAAGGCCCAATTCAAAAGAGCTGCGAATCAAACTGCACCAAAACTTGGACTGCCTATGAAAATTGTTCAGGTCGTGTTGAAAAATTAGTTGATGACGAAAAAGCCAACTGTTTAGGTCAATTTTTAGAACATATCCAATGTATAGATAAATGTGTAAGTATCCGAAAAGAATTTAGTACAGGTTTCAAAAAGAATTTATAGATAAAATCATTATACCCAACAAATCAATTTTTTTTTTTTTTTTTGTTTTTTTTAACAATTAATATCACCAAAATTTTTTTTTTTAATAATTATTGTTTTTATTTCTTGTTAAACAAATTACAAATTTTTTATTATTTTATTTTTAAATTTATCATTATTATAATTTCGTTCAAGAATAAATAATATATTTTATTGTTTTGTAAAGTGGAAATGTCATATTTAAATAACAGATATCGTCTTTTTAGCGCATTGATCAAACACACAGATTTTTTATTATATAAAATTTTGTTTTTTAAAAAAAAAGATATATAATTTAATCACCACACCATTACTATTATTACCACTACCACATATAACCCTCCACATATTTTAATTAATACAACACTATCACCACTACCCAGAAAGATTAATACTATCACCAAAATTTAAAAAAATTGTTATTGTTGTTGTTTGTAATTGTTTATTATTCATTTTATAATGCACATTGTTTTATTCTTTGTTTTATTCTTTGTTTTTTTTTCTTTTTTTTATTTTTTTTTTATTACATAGTTTATAATAAAATTAATAAATTTTATTATTTAAATAAAACCACCAAATAATTCGAAAATCTAAATATAACCACTTTTAGTATAATAACTATAACAACCAAAATTATATCACAATAGTGATTATATACGTGATAGTTTCCTTCCATTTTATATTTTTATATTTGTTAAATTGTATTAAATGCCTATATAACCACCAAATTGATAAATTTTTTGTAGTTTTCTTTTTTGTTTAATTTAAATTTTGTAAACTTTAAAAGGGAGAATAAAATTTTTTTTTATAATAAAAGATTTATATTATTAATAAATAAAATAAAAGAGTCAAAGAAAAAGAAGAATAAATAAATTATAACAAAAAAAAAATACAACAAAAAATAAAAATAAAACAAATAAAAATAATTTTAAAGCAAAATAAATATAAAAAAAACACAAATAAAAAGAAATAATAAATAATAAAATAACAAAATAACAGCTGCCTATATAATGTATCTGGAATATATTTATATAACACTATCAATACAACAAAAATTCTTCTGATTTTAATTAAATCATATAGATAGAACAAGTTTTATAAAATATATCTACTATATTTATCTTCAATTAAATAATCAGCAACTGATAATTAAAAAAAAAACAATGTTTTTGTGGTTGTAGTTGTTGTTGTTGTTGTTGTTATTGATTTGTTTTTATTTATTTATTGTTATTGAGTATATTCTTGTTGATTTGGTATTTGTTCTCTTTGTTATTTTAAAATTTTAAATTTTATTTTAAAAAAACTAATCAATTTTTTTAATTAACTTTTTTTTAGGTTGCACCAAAATTATTCGCTCAATTAAAATAAATTAATTAGTTGAAAATTTTTAAAATAATAATAATAATAATAATAATAACAACAATAATAAATAATATAAACAAATATTTAAAATTTTAAAAAATAAAAAAAAAAATTAAAAATAAAAAAAAAATATAGTACTATATGCAATAAAAACAGATCAAACAACCAAAAAAAGTGTTTCCCAACAACAACAACAAAGATTGTTTTGAAATGCTAAAATAACCAATTTTATGTTGCACGTTGTCTTTATTTATTTTATTTATTTTATTATTTATGTATATTTTAATAGACACCAAACACCAATTCACAAAATAAAAAAACCAAATGGAGTATACTTTTTAATGATAATTGAAGCTTGGTTGAATCGGTTTCTTTATTTTTTTTATTTTTTTATTTTTTTATTTTATTTTTTATTTTTTATTTTTTTTTTCTTTTCCTTCTATTGCTGGTACTCAATAAATATTTATTTTTAAAAGACTTTGTTTTTAATTTTTTTATTTAAGTTGGTTAATAAATAAATAATTTTAAAAAAAAATAATATCGATATCTCATTTTTATAAATTGTAATAGTTATAACATTAGTTATTTTAATTTTAATAATAATAGTATTATAATAAATATTAAATCAACCATACACCAGTTTAATTTTATAATAAAATGACAATTGGTGTGGTATTGGAAGGGAGGTAGTTGACAGATAGGAAATAATCAATGTAAAATATAGAACGAAATAAAAAAACTAAATAATATTAAGATAAAAGTAAAGTAAGAATGAGTGCGAAAGAGATTGGTTAAACATAAATATTAGAATGGGTAATTGAGTGGAAGAAAAAGAAATGATAAATTGGTAAGTTTTGGTAGTGTGTTGGGTTAATCAAATTTCACTTTGGTTGTCGAAAAGTCTATTCATAATAATTTATAGTTTCTACAACGATCACTTAGGTTAACTTAATTTTAATATATTCAAATAATTTAAACAACAATAACACTTATTATTTAAATAAAATTAAACAAAAAAAATAACAATAATATAAATAAAATTAAATAAAATAAAATAATAAAATAATAAAATAATAAAAATATAATAAAATAAATTGAAAAAAATAAAAAAAAAAGATTATATTTATTGTTTTATATATTTTTTAATTATTTTTTTTTAATTGATTCACATTCTTCAATAATAATTATACCAATAACAACCACTATAACAACTAATTGTATTTGGTTTATTAGTACATGTTATTTTTATTTATTATAATTATTAATTCTTTATTTCTTTATTACACCATATTAAACGATATAACGAGTGAAAAAATTAATATCAAAAATAATAATAATTGACGATAATTTCATGCATACACACTCTTTTTTCACCCTCATTTTATTTGTTTATTTTCACCCACTTGTACAATACCCACACTCATTTGTACTCTATTTCTATGTAAAATAATTCAAGTTACACTGTTCACAATTTATTTACTTTTTATTTTATAAATTTAAATTATTTTTATTTCTTCTTCCTTTCTTTTTTACGCTCTCTTCTTGTTACACCAAAATAAAAATTGATTATTTTAAAAATCTATTGTTAATAAATTAATTCTCAAATGTCCAAGAACATGAATTAATTTATACACAATTTCTTTTTTTATATTGTAATTGTATTTAAAAATTATATTTCTTATACATGTGTGTGTCAGAATATACTCTTTGATATAAAAATTTGATTGTAAATTGTTTAAAAAAAACAAAATTTTTTTTTTTTTTTTTTTCTGATTAATTTTTTAAATTTTATGATTAAAAAATTTCTCAATAATATTACATTGAGTCTTTATTGTTATATTTTAATTTAATGAGCAATTTAATTCATTAAATTATTATATCAAATATATAAAATTAAAAAAAAAAATCAACATCTGTAGATTTACTAAATTTATAAATGGAGGAGCTAAATATTACTCTTGCTATTAATAAGTATTCGTATAGGAGAATTTTGTTAAAATTTTATTTGTAAACTAAAAATAAATAAATAGGGTATTGTATATTACTTTTCTTAAATGTAAATTAAATAAAGATTATCCATTTTATAAACAACAAAATAAATCTTATTTGTATATATAAAAGTATGGTTAAGTAATTCTGTTTCATGTTATATAATATAATCAAAAATTTAATGTATCTTAGAACCATTTATAAATTTTTAACATGATTATAGCATTACTATTAACACATCATTAGTTTTTTGATTCAAATTAAAAATAATATTATTTTAATATCTAGATCATGTGTGTGAGTGTGTTTTTATTTATTCAAATAAAATATTTGTTTGGAATTCTCCCACTATTGGGGTAATAAAAGCTTTTATTTTAAATAGATATTGAACAGAAGTGCTTAGATTACATTTAAATTTTTTTTTTTTTTTTTTTTTTTTTTTTTTTTTTTTTGATAAAATATTAAAATGGTAGTAATGGTAAAGATAGTGTGTGTTTGTGGTTGTTTTGTAAAAAAAAAAAATCTCATCTGTTTTTTTTTTTTTTATTTTTAATTACTTTATTTTTTTTTTTATTAAATTTAATTATAAAATTTAAAAAATAAATATGCCACAATTAATATCTACTTATATCTAAATTTTATTATATCTTAAAATGAAATACGACAATAAATATTCAAATCAAATCAAAATTTCTATTTATAGTAAATTATTCTTTTATCAGGGATAATAAAAGAGTGCAAAAAATTTGGAAATAATCATTATTTTTTTTTTGATTTTTTTATCTTAATAATTAGGCAATTAAACACCAATAAATTTAATTTCAAATATTTAGTTCTTTTAAAATGAACATTTAAAACAATTTTTTGTTTTTTTTTTAATTTTTTTATATATAATATATGAACTAACACTCTTTTTCTCTAAAAACAATAACACACCCACACAACCACACATAAATTAAAAAAAAAAACTTTTTCGGGTACCCCTATTTCTAACACACTTGAATAACAATATTGTTTTGTTATCATTATAGTATAGTGTATAATAAATATGACAGCAATAAAATAAAAAAATAATAAAATTATGAATATGAAATTTTTTTTTTTTTTAATTATTTTTATTTCGACCAATAGAATAGTTTATATACAGAAAAAAAAAAAAAAACCAATTGCCATATTATCACATCCTATTAATTATTATACACTATACTTTTAATTATAAGTTAGGTTCTATTTCTCTACAATAACAAAAAGAAAATATTGTCAAATTCAAAAATTTATTTATTTTTATTTTATTATTTTTTATTGTTTAATTTTATTTTTATATAATTTTATTTTTTTTAAAAATTTTATATATTTTAAATCCAACAGACAGTATTTTGCATAAAAGGATAAAATATTTATTATGATTTTTAATTAATTAATTTATTTTTTTATTTTATTTTTTTATTTTTTTTTATTTTTTCTTTTTCAAAAAAACAATATAAATATTTAAATTTATTATTTTTTTTATCCAATCAATCCAAATCAACCAATTATACTTTTTTTTTTTTTTTTCTATTTTTGTTTTATCTTGGGTTTTTTTTTTTAAAAAAAAATTTAAAAGTTATAAAAAAAAATTTTATTTTTTTTAAATAAAGATAATAGTAGTAGTTACAATTAAAAAAAATTTATAATAAAAAAATCAAAATAAAATAGAGCCTCAAATATATCATAAAATCTCAAACATCCCCCAATAAATATAAAAAAAAATAACCTCAGCCCCTTAATACAAATACCTCAAAAAATTTTAAAAGATTTTGACATATCTTACAATACCTCCATCCATTTTGGTGAAGTTTTAATTAAATACAGTTTTTTTGTTGTATTAAAGGTACTTATCCAATAATTAAAATAAAATATCTTATAGTAATAATAAATTATATTAAATTAAAAAATTTTAATAAAAAAAAAAACTATTTAAATAACAATTTTTTTTTTTTTTTCATTCAACTTCTTTTTATTAAATTATAGCTATAGAGGTAAAATAACTTTGAAGAAAATAACAATTGTTTTATTATATATAAAATAAAAGTTTATTAAATTTATTATAGAAAAAATGTACTTGCTTATAGGTTTAATTATATTTTTAGCATATATCGCTGTAAGTATTTTTTTAAATTGATTTATAGTTATATATATTATATTAATGTTTATTTTTTTTAAAAAAAGTATCATAAAAGCAGAACAAGCGGTATGCCCCCTGGACCATTCCCAATGCCAATTATTGGAAATTTACATCAATTAGGAAAATCACCTTATAAATCATTAAAAGCATTTTCCGATAAATATGGAGGTTTAACAACTATCTTCTTAGGAAGTGTTCCTACTGTATTAATTAGTGATACCAATTTGTTAAGAGAAATTATGATTAAAAACAATGACCAAATTATAGATAGATATATCTCTGATAGTGGTTTGATTATTGGTCAAGAAAGAAATCTTTTGTTCTCGAAAGGTTCATTTTGGAATAAATATAGAAAAGTATTTTCTCAAGGCATGAATAATGCAAGAAAATACAATATTTCTTCGAGAATTGATCAACAGGCTATAAATTTAAATACCTATTTTGGTACATATGCAAGCTCTGGGCAACCAGTAAGTAGACACTTAATTTCAGTATTTAACATCATTATTACTAATTTCTTTATTTTTTCTAATTATTATATAGATAAACCCACACGATTATATTAGAAGATATAGTTTAAACGGTGTTATTGATTATTCATTCAGTGATTCAGTTGAATATGATTCAGATTCACATCATATTGTAATTAAAGCTGCCGAGATTATGGAAGAAATTTTAGCTACTGGTAATCCACACGATTATTTACCATTTTTAAAACCATTCTATGCTAAAAAAAGAGGTATGTTGGGATATGCTGTTAGTCAAGTATGGGACTATTGTTTAGATGCCATAACAGTTCATAGAAAAACATTAAACGAAGAAAAACCACGTGACCTTTTGGATCTTATTTTAATGGAAATTGATAAAAGCGACGAAAAGGAATTCTTTGACGATGACTCTCTTGCAAAATGCTTAACTGATTTAATCGTTGCAGGTCATGAAACTGTAAATTTATATAACAATAGTTATTATTACAATGTTGGAAAAAAGATACTAATATTTCTCTTTATAAATAGGTTGCAATTACTCTTGGTTGGATGTTATTGTTTTTAGTAAATTTACCAGACGTTCAAGAAAAAGTCTATCAAGAATTGGTTAATGCTGTAGGTAAAGGCAATTTACCAACCCTAGCACATAGAAAAGATACTAGCTATTTAAATGCATGTATTCAAGAAACCATGAGAATCCGTACAGCTGCTCCTTTAGCATTACCAAGAATCGCAAACACTGATATAAAAGTTGGTAACTATGTAATTCCAAAGGGTACACAAGTTATGATGTCTGTATTTGGTTTAGCTTCAGATAATAAATATTGGGATGAACCTGAAAAATTCAAACCAGAGCGTTGGATCTCATCCGGTGCTGAAGGTGGCAATGTTTCATCAGAAGCTTTTATTCCATTTGGTGTAGGCCCAAGAATGTGTGTTGGTATGGGTGTAGCTAAAGATGGTAATTATTTTTTAATTTATTTTTTTATTTAATTAAACCCCCATTTATTAATAAATTTTTTTTTTAAATAGAACTTTATTATTGTGCATCTCAAATGTTTATGAATTTCAAATGGACATCAGTTGATGGTAAACAAATTGATGATGAGGGTGTTGCCAGAATTGCACTCGAATATAAACAATATCAAGTTAAACTTGAAAGAAGATAAAATAATAGATAATAATAGTTAAATTATAATAACCATAGAAATTTTATTTTAAAATTATTATAAAATAACAATCATTTTAAAAATAAAAAAAAAGTAAAATAATTTTTTTAAAAAAAAAGATATTATAGATTTGATTTTTTTTTATTTTTCACTCCATTATTTTTATTTGTGATATTTTTTAATTTTTTTTATTTTTGCATTGGGATTTGATATTAAAATAATTTCAAATAATAATTATTTTTTTTCCCTAATTCCTAAAGCATTTAACCCATTATCATATTTATAAATTGGTGATTTGTTAATTTTTATAGATATTATAGTAAATAATAAAAAAGATATCTTTATCTTAATTAATTTTTATTAAAAAAAAAATAAAAAAATAAAAAAAATAATTAAGGTTTAAAAAAAAATAAAATTGGTATTAAATTCATTTTGTGGTGTATATATATTTTAGTTCAAACTTACACAAAATATTTTTTTTTGTGTATCTCTTTTTTTTTTTTATATATTTGTAAATAATTCTTTTTAAATTTTTGTCTTTTTTAGGAAAAAACTAATTAATTTTATTTGTAAATTAATATTAGATTAATTTTTTTTTTTTTTTTTTTTTTTTTTAAAATTTTAAAATGATTTTTAAATCATTATTTTTTTTATTTTTTTTATTATACAATGTAAATTATGTAAAATGTGTTTCATGCAATCCAATTTCACTGCCCCCAATCCAATATACTATGACATCTTGTTCAACAAAATGCTATTTTCAAGCAAGTATAATGTGTACCGATTCATCCAATGTCAATGAACCAACTGTAACATGGGACTCTGGTACAACCCCAACAATTACTTACAAATACAATACTGCCTCAACCTCACAATATATAAATTTAACAACACAGACACTTGTTGGGGATTACAAAATTAATTTTAAATATAGCTTTCTTTTTAGCTATGATATTCAATCATCTTGTAAAAGTAATTATTCGTAATATTAATAAACCTATTTTTTTTTTACTAAAATTATTTTTATTTTTCAAAGCAACACCAACTTCAATCTCAATAACACCAATAGAGCCATTATCTTATAATTTTCTAGATGATAGCTATACAACAATTGTATCTATTACTGGTTTAGATTCAACCTTTGGACCTGTAAAAGAATTTGACCTCACCTGTCCATTGTTTATAAAATGCACCTTAAAATACGAACAATTAAGGTATAGGTTAAGATTTTATGGTGCACCAACTTCATATGCATCCCTGTGGTCGTTCAAAGTTTGCTTAGGAAGTACCCAAAGGGATTTTACTATTGCATCACCAATAAATGGTAAATTTATAAAAACAAACAAATAGTTTTAAAAAAAATTAAAATATTAACTTTTTTTTTTTTAAAAAATATAGCAATAAATTTTACATATAGTGATATATCATATTATGTACCAGATAAAGCAATGGGTAAATTTATCTATCCACAATATTCCTTCAATGTAGAATCCAATCAAAATATACCACCATATTTAATACTCAAAAATAATGCTGAAAGTTTACCATTATCAAAACCATATCCTATAAAAAGCATCAATGGCATTTCAACATACATGGGTTCATTCATTTATCCAGAAAACTATGTAAATACCACTTTTACATTAAATGCACAAACTTTGGATAGTATTTCTCCAGTTTTTAGTAAAAAAATCCCCACTACCTGTAAGTATTTCAAAAAAAATATAATATATTTCTTAATTTAAATACTTATAAAATTTATTAAAATAGTCGAGCTGAAACCAACATCATCATTAGTTTATATAAAATCCTCAGTAACATCATTAAAAAGTGCAAACAATCCTCTTTCAATTTTTACTGTATCTTCTACTGAAACCGATGTGTATGGTCCAATACCACTATACTATGGCTTAAACTATGGCAATAAAAAGGTGATAAATTCACCATTCAGTACCATTAATGGTGATAATAATCAACTACAACAAGCATTTTCGTTTCTTATATTTAAATCTTCAGCCTCCCTATTTCAAGAAAAAATAAGTTATAATACTGTTCAACTAAATATAAACAATGCCAAAGGTAAATATTAAACATAAAACATTTTAATTATTATGCAATACTAATGACTTTGTTTTATTAATATAGAGACATCAGCATCTCCCACCATAATAGAAGCACTCTCAGCAAAATCGCTTGCAAATGATAATCAATTGATCATTACTATACAATTTACCTGCCCAAATGGTTTATTATTCATTTCAACTCAAAGAATTATAAATGAAATGACCGTATTAGATGAAGTTTTTTATTATCATCAAGATTTCAATATAATTTCAGGTGACTATAAATCAGGTACCGTCGAACTTCTTTATAACTATAAATATACTGATAATTCAACAAACGAAACAAATTTAAAAGACAAAATGAAATTCAATATCATCCTATACGATCTAAGCTTAAATTCAATAAGATTGACCAAAGGTGAATATTTTTCAATTAGTCCAAACAAATACCTTAGCTTTCCAACTGGATTTGATTTAAATTCAAGTAAGTATAATATCTGATTAAAATTAAAAATTATTTTTCAATTTTTATTAACCTATGCTTTATTTTATTAGACTTTGCTACCTCTGATATAAAAAGTGTATCTTTTTTATTCAACAATATTGACTTAACCAACAATAGTGGATATAATATTATGTATATTAAATTATCGGGTCAAGTTCAAAGTTTAAAGTTAACAATTAAACCACAATTTGAAGTATTTGAAATATTCGGAACATGGAATCAAACCTCTTTAGCCTACCAGTTTATTTTCTATCTACCAGGAAATATTATGCCCGGTGTATTATCATACTCATTATCATTGCCAACCTCAAACTATATATTTAACACCCAGTTGCCATCCGCATATCAACTAAACATCATTTCAAATAGTAAGTCAATTTAATTATTTTTTTAATATATTTTAATTATTAAATACTAACATTTTCTTTTAAAGATACGGATTTATCAGGGCCAATATTTAAATCTATTACAAAGATTCCTTATTCAGAAGGTACAAAAGAAATTGGATGGAAAGTTACAATTGAAGATTTAACAAACGGTTATAAAGATGGATTTGTAATAATAACCTCATCTGTAGACAACAAAATTTACAACATTTCAATTACACCACCAATTATATTATATTCTTTTGACTATTATATAAAAGTTATACTACCAACCGATATAATTACTCAAGACTATTTTATTTCTCAAGTTGTATTTTATGATAATCAGGGTGTAAATTCAACATATGAATCAAATAGTTTTAATGACTTTTACCAATACACAAATCCTTTTATAAACTATGTAACAGATAATAAAATAAATGTAATTAGTGTCACGGGAAGAAAAGCCACTGTTTCACCAACATCAAAGCTTGTAGAAATAACTGTTTCACCCAATGAATTAATATTTGGTAAAGATAACTTTGTTAGTATCAAACTCTCATTAGATAATCCAAATTTTTTGATTAGCAAACCAGTTGTCTATTTAACATCAAGCAATATTGAAATCATTGAATGTAAAACAGAACAGGAAACATCTGCAAACAAAACACATTCTTTTTTTGTATGCAACAAAGTAATAGCTTCAGGATTTGGCTATCCATTAGGCTTTGGTTTAAGTGTACACAATATTTACTCATCTGATGGAAATATTAATGGATATGCTTCAGACATATTAAAAGAAAATAATTTACAATATCATATACCATATGGCATAACCTATCAGGAAGTCCCATCAATTTCCAGAAAAAGTGCTTTTAGTAGCGAAGGTGGTGCACTATATTTATATGGAAAGTCACTAACCAAATGCACAGCATTCCAAGTAGAAGGATTTTCACCAGTTTTAAACATACCTGTATACAACTCACAAGTTTCTATATCTTTAGAAGGCACTTTTTCCTCACCATTTAATATTACATGTGTTTATAATGGAGGCTCAACCTTCACAACTGTGAATCCTATTATTACAAAATATTATACAGACCCTATAATTAGCTCAGAAAGCTCTGAAGAATTACCTACAAATGAACCACAGAAATGTTTAAACAACTGCGGTGGTCAATTGAATGGTTATTGCTCCTCCAAGGGCTGTGTATGCTACTCTCCATATATTGGTGAAGACTGCAGTAGTCAAGTAATAGTTGTAACACCAGATATTAATGGTACTACCCCAGTTGTAACATTCCCTAACATTACCGACCCAGGAAACATCAATCCAAACAATACAGATATTACCAAAAGCCTAATCAATATTGTAGAACTAAGAGAGATTGATATCTTTGGAAAAATAGTAAAAGCCTACCCACTAAATGTATGGATTGCCAAACAATCTTCAAAATACGTATACCAATACCAAGCATCAATAGAATCTGATGGCTTTATTACCAGCATAACTACTCAAGTTGAATGGTTCGATAGAGATACAAATTTAACTTTTGCAAACCAAAAAGTTAAAATTGTTAAATCATCAGTTAAATATACAATTGACATCACTTTTTATAAATTTATTTCACAATTAAATAGTCTACAGCTAGTAATGAAGGCATCACTAAACTCAACGCAATCAAACAACGTGTGTTCAACTAAACAATTTGGTCAAACTGTAGATGATAATTCAGACTATATTAAACTTTCAATTCAAAACATTTCATTATACGGAAGATTTGTTAAAAGGGCAATTGTTGATGGTACACCAAGATCATGTTCAAATATCCTATTAGACAACTCTATGAATTTGATTCAAAAACAATCAAACTCATCCCAAACATATATCGGTATTCAAATTCCTTATTTTAGAAACAATGTTAAAATTGATCCAGGTAATTATTAATTAATTGCTATTTTAGAAAATTATATTTTAATTTATTTATTTTATTAATTTTTTGTTTTTTTTTTTTAAAGATTTTTCTGTACTAATAGATTCAGACAATAAAAACAATAAGGGAAATAAAGACTCTGTTTGTAAGTATTCTGATAGTGGTGAACCAATTGAAAACTCTGATAATAGTAATGGAGGTGAGGAAAAAGGATTGTCTAAAACCAAAATAGCAGGTATAGTTATTGGATCAGTAGCATTTGTTGTTGCTGCTTTATTTGCCGGGGGATACTCAATATACAGAAAAAAGAAAATTGCAAAACAAATGGCCCCAATTAATGTTAAATTAACAAAGGTGTAAATTATTAAAATTAAAAAAAAAAAAAAAAAAAAAAAAAAAAAAAAAAAAAAAAAAAAAAAAAAAAAAAAAAAATATTAATATTAGTAACAATAGTAGTAGTAATATGGACAATAATAATTATTTAAAACCATGTATTCATTAATAATATAATTTAAATGATGTTATGGACAATATTAAAAATAATTAATTATAAAAAAGTAAAATTTACCACTCTCCCTCTTCAAAACAATTTTTACCACTTAATAAAAGATATTTTTATGGATACAAATTATTTTAAATAATATATAGCAACAAAAAACAAAATGAAATTTAAAAATTAATTAGATCATTGATTATTTACTAATATAGTTATAATTATATGTCATAATAAAAAATAAAAATAATTTAAAAATAAATTTAAAAAAATTAATATACATATATGTTGTTATTTCTTCATCAAAAAAAAAATAATTCTATTTTTCTTTTAATATTTTATAATAATAAATGTAATAATTAATTATTACATTTTTATTTATTTTTTTATTTTATTTTAAAATTATTTTTTCCAATATTTTAATTTTTTTATTTATTGGTTTTTTTTTTTTTTTTTTATATAAAAATAAATTTAATAATTAACACATCAAATAATTAAATAAATAATTATTTTCAATTTATTTATTTTTTTATATTTTTTAATATATAAAATATATTTTAAATATTATTTATATATATATATATATAATATAATTGATTAGTTTTAAAGTATACTCTAAAAAGGTGATTATTTAGTGTTTTAAATTTTGTTTTATTTTTTATTATTTTGTGTTTATTTTTTTCGAAAAATATTTTAAAAAATCAAAAAACAAAAAAGGCTCTGGTTTGCCGTGGGGCCTTCCGGTTGTTCTTTTAAAAAAATATAAAAAAAAAAAATTAAAATACATAAATTTCAAAAAAAACAAATTTACGAATCTACATTCATTAATTTTTTATTTTTTTTATTTTTTACAATTTTTTTTTTTTTTTTTTTTTTTAACACACAAATTAAAAAAATTTCAAAATTTTTATTTTTTAATTTCAAAATTTTTTTTATTAATATTATTTAATATTATTTATCTAATAATTTTTATATTTATAATATAATTTTATTTTAGAAAATAAAAAAAAAAAATGACTAGTAGTACTGTAACAGAATCAATTAACAAATCACTCAAATCTTCAACAGCTGATTTCTCACCAAAGGATGTTCACGAAACTGATATTGAATCAGGTAAATATTAAAAAATAAAAAAAAACATAATAGATAATAGATAAAAACTTTTTACTAATTATTTTATAATTTCTTTACTGTTTTTTTATTTTTTTTATATTTATGTTTATAAAAAAAAAAATTAAAAAATTAAAAAATTAAATTTATGCATTTTATTTTTTAAATTAAAAAAAATATTATATTATTTTTTATATAGATGCTATCTTTTTAGATGAACACTTTTCAGGAAATGCCAAAGTATTCCATAATCCAGCTGTCTCAGTCTTATATGAACATGCTCTTCAATTTGAACATGGTTCAGCTATTACCAGCTCTGGTGCCTTAGCTACAAGATCTGGAGTAAAAACTGGTCGTTCACCAAAAGATAAGCGTATTGTTCACGAACCAAGTAGCTGCAATGATATATGGTGGGGTCCAGTCAATATCCCATTAGACGATTTATCATTTATGATTAATCGTGAAAGAGCAATCGATTATTTAAACACTCAAGAAAGAATCTATGTTATTGATGGTTATGCCGGTTGGGATCCACGTTACCGTATCAAAGTTAGAGTTATTTGTGCCCGTGCTTACCATGCACTCTTTATGCATAATATGTTAATTCGTATTACAAGCAAAGAGGAATTAAGAAATTTCGGTGAACCAGATTACACAATTTATAATGCAGGTCAATTCCCAGCCAATCGTTTCACTAAAGGTATGTCATCATCATCATCAGTCGCTATCGATTTTGCTCGTAAAGAAATGGTTATTCTTGGTACTCAATATGCTGGTGAAATGAAAAAAGGTATTCTTACAATTATGATGTATCTCATGCCAAAGATGGGTGTTCTTCCATTACACTCCAGTTGCAACCAAGGTCGTGATAATGGTGATACCACCTTATTCTTCGGTCTCTCTGGTACCGGTAAAACTACTTTATCAGCCGATGTTCATCGTGAATTAATCGGTGATGATGAACACGTTTGGACTGATACTGGTTGTTTCAATATCGAAGGTGGTTGTTATGCTAAATGTATCGATTTATCACGTGAAAAAGAACCAGAAATCTTTGATGCCATTAGATTTGGTTCAGTTCTCGAAAATGTTGTCTTCAATAATGTTACCCGTAAAGTTGACTACAATGATACCTCAGTCACTGAAAACACTCGTTGTGCTTATCCATTAGAACACATTCCAAATGCTAAATTCCCAGCTATTGCAGGTCATCCAAAGAATATTATCATGTTAACTTGTGATGCTTTCGGTATTCTCCCACCAGTCAGTCGTTTAACTCCAGAACAAGTTATGTATCATTTCATTCAAGGTTATACTGCTAAAGTCGCTGGTACTGAAGTTGGTGTTACTGAACCAACTGCTGCCTTTTCATCATGTTATGGTGAACCATTCATTGTATGGCATCCAACTAAATATGCTGAAATGTTAGCAGAACAATTACATCGTCATAAAGCTAGAGCTTGGTTAATTAATACCGGTTGGACTGGTGGTTCATATGGTGTTGGCAGTCGTATCAAGTTATCCTACACACGTGCCATCATTGATGCCATTCACAGTGGCGAACTTGAAAAACAAGAAACAACTCCAATGGATGTATTTGGTCTTTTAGTTCCAAACTCATGTCCAAATGTACCAAGTGAAATTTTAATGCCAATCAACTCATGGTCAGATAAAGAAAAATATAAAACTACTCTCCATAAACTTGCCAAATTATTTATTGAAAATTTCAAAAAATATCAAGATAAAGCTTCAAAAGAGGTTTTAGCTGCTGGTCCACAATTAAATTAAATTTCACATACATCCTTTTCCCCTCCCAATAAAATCAAATAGTATATTTAAAAAAAAATAAATAATTTATAATGGTAATAAACAATCATCATATTAATAACATTAATGATATAATAAACTTCAAATCAAAATCAAAATCAAAATCAAAATATAAAATTTAATTAAATCAAAATCTATAAAAAAAATCTTTTTTTTATATTAAATTAAAAAAATAGAAAAAAAAAATTAAAAAATAAAAATAGAAAAAAATTAAAAAAAAAAAAAAACATACACTCGTGATCAAAACAGATATATTTCACATTTGGAATACAACATATAACTATTATATAAAACCACCATTATCTTCCCATCCCCCACACAAATATATAAATACACATGTGCGGGGTCACATACCTCATTTGGATTACTATTAGTATGTATATAAATTTGTTATAATAATAAATTTTTATCTTTTTTTTTTTTTTTTTTTTTCGCCTAATTTGGACAAGCTAAATAGAAAAAACAAAATGTTATATTAGGAGAACTCACATGTTTATTTATTTACTGCACACACCACCCCCCACCACAACAATATCAGTTATTTTTTTATTTTTTTTTTAAAAATTTTTTTTTTTTTTAATTTTTTTTTTTTTTTATTATTATTATAATTTTTTTTTTTTATTATTATTTTTTTTTAATCACTCATACCCATTTTTTTTCATTATATATAATTAGTTTATATTCACTAAATAATAAATAATTTCAACTGTTATTTATTAATAAATCTAATAAAAAAAATAAATAAATCAATAATTAATATTATTATTTTTATTAAATAAAATAAATAGTTTTAGACTTTTTTAATATAGATAATAGTTATAACTATAAGTAATAATTTTATTATTGTGGACATATTTTCCCAAGGTTTGTTTTATTTCTATTTTTATATCCATAAATATCAAAAAAAAAAAATAAAAAAATAAAAAAAAAAAGAAAAGAAAATTATTTTTAAAAATTTTTTTATTTTTATTTTTTAAAACAATCTTTGCTTATAATTTTTTATTGTGTAGTCTAATGTTTTATTTTAAAAATAATAGTATATAGGTTTATATTTGAATAAACGTTTAAATATAATTACAAATAGTAATAATAAATAGTAGTAATAGCTTAAAAAAAAAAAAACATAGTGATACAACAATTTTTTTTTTTTTATTCATAAAAAAAAGAAATCAAAAAAAAATTAAATTATAAAATGTCGGTACAACAAAAAACATTTTCTGAGGATTTATGGGTAAGTATACTTATAGTTTCATTCATCTATTTATAATATTAACTTATATATTATTATTTATTAAAGGATAAATTCGAATCAGTCACAAAAAAAGTTGATAATGGAAAATTATTTACACAAACACTCAGTAAATTTTTAGCAAAACAACATCAAATTGAATCATCTTATGCAAAGAGTATGATTAAGCTATGTAAAGATAAATCATATGCACCAGATATGGAAATGGGTACATTAAGAGATGGATTTCAAAGTTATCGTGAACAATTAGAGTTAATTGGAGCACTTCATGAAGAATTTTCAAATAGATTAGAAAAGTTAGTAACTGGACAAATTGATGTTTATTTAGAAGAGAGCAGAAAACAAAGAAAGGCCTTAATTGCAAATGGTGAAAAGTGCACAAAGGATTTAAAAACAGCAGAGTCAAATGAAACAAAAGCTAAGCAAAACTATGAAAAATTAAAAAGAAAACAAGAAGAGTCACACGAAGATCTTTCAAAACAACCACCAGGGGCTAAAGAGCAAAAGGCAAGAAAGAATTTAGAGTCTGCTACCAAAGCCGCAGATAAAGCAGATAATGAATATCGTGAAAGTGTAAGACAGCTCCAACAAAACCAAAATAGATTCTATCATGAAGAGATGCCAAGAATTTTAGATGATCTCCAACGTTTTGAGGTCGAAAGAATCGATAAAACTAAGGATTGGTTACTTGAAATTTGTACTCAAGCAGAAGTTATTCCACCAGAAGTCATCGATAAAAACCAAAAAATAAGAAGAGGTATCGAAAATATTGACAGAGAAAAAGATCTTCACGATTATATAGTTGCTACTTGGAGTGGTGCACAAAGACCACAAGAGGCTCAGTATGAACCATATCAATCCTCAGTTCTATCACCTTCATTTAATATATCATCACCTGCAGGCGCTCGTAAATCTGGTGATTCATCCTTGGGCAGCAGCACAGGTTTTTCTAATAGCTCAAGTAATGGTAATCTTGCAGCAACTGCCAATGGCTATCAAAACATTGATCAACAACATCCACCAACCCCACATATCACAAATCCACCAGCTATTATTCATTCATCGGCAAATACTACACCAAACGCTATGACAACTCCACCACAACCAGTACCAATTTATCAACAACCACCATCACAACCAGCACCACCAATTGTATCATTAAGTAAGAATGTTAATAGTAATAGTATTAATAATCACAATGGCAATAATAATGAAAATGAGGATTCAGTTAGAGCTCTTTATGATTATAATGCAACAGAAGAAAATGAAATTACATTTAAAGCAAACGATTTAATCAAGGTTGTATTAAAAGATGAAAGTGGTTGGTGGCAAGGCTCAGTTGTTGGTGACCCAACAGGAAGAGTAGGCTCATTCCCATCTAATTTTATTAAATCTGACGCTCCAAATCAAAAGAAGGTTGATGTCACAGGTTCAAAATGTAAAGTTTTATATGATTACCATCCAGATTGCGAAGGAGAGTTGGATATTCAAGAGGGAGAAATTTTAACTATAGAATATGAAGATGAAGGTTGGTATTTTGGTTCAAATAGTAAAGGTGTAGCAGGAAAATACCCAAGTAATTATGTTCAATGTTTAGACGGTTAAATAAAATAATCAATCATGTACTATTTAAAAGTTAATTAAAATATCTTTATTTTTTTTAAAATATTTCCATAAAAGTATTTCATAAATTATTTTTTTATTTTTAAACCATTTTTCAAGTTTTGTTTTTTATTTTTTTTATTTTTTTTATTTTTTTTATTTTTTTATTTTTTCTTTTTTAATCTGGTATGGATGTGAATAAAAAAATGTTGGAAATACCAATAAAAGTAATTTATTAATTAATAGTTTTTCTTCCCAGAAAAATCAAAATTTTAAAAATATTTTTTTAAAAATTTTTTTTTTTTTTTTTTTTTAATTTTTATATTTTCTTATAATTAATTAAATTTTTTTATTTATTTTTGTGTATTTATAAAATATCTATTTGTTAAATAGTTTCAAATAAAATAATCATGACAGAATATATCAATGTCGATGATAATGTAAATAGTGTAAATAATAATAATAATAATAATAATAATAATAATAATAATAATAATAATAATAATAATAATAATAATAATAATAACGATAATGGAGAAGTAAAGTTATCTCTACCTACTCCAATAAATATAGATGTAAATAGTATTTCTGAAGAAAATAATATTCCCAATAGCAGTGGGAGGGACGATTCAATATCTCTGCCTACTCCATTAAATAACAATGTTGGCAGCAATAATAGTTTTTTCAATGTAAATAATAATAGTGATGACAACCGCAATACAAATAATATTAGTAATAATAAATTTAAGGCAAGATCAAAGACACAGTGGCTAGGTAAAATGATAGGTGTTGGTGGTCTTGAGTTTTATGATGGGTTAAAATTCGGGGGTATCGAATTTTATAAAGATTTTACAGTAATGGTAAATAGGTTTTCCGATAAAAATCCAAAGTAAGCATTTTTTGTATAAAAAAATAAATATAATCTTTAAATTCTAATATTCATATTTATAGACAGTCTCATTCACAAGTTTGCAAAGTATCAGCATTTTTTGAAGATAGAGTAAAAGGTAAACCATTTGTCGAACTTATTAGAATGGATAGACCAGAAGATTTAAAAGAGGGCAGAAAACCATTTCATGGCCAAAAGGAATTATTTCCGACAGATGAGTCAATAGTTATAGATATTGATGATATCAAAAGATTAGTTTCATGTACAATTCAATCTAAATCCGAATATACTCAAAGAAAACAATTTCCAATGAATGCCTTCTTTTGTCAAGATGAAAAAAGTTTTCAAATTTTACAAAATAAAGGGAAATATAGAAATATATTAGAAAATATAAATAATAATCAAATTGTATTAATAGATGATAGTACCAATATACCAGATAATAATAATAATAATAATAATAATAATAATAATAATAATAATAATAATAATAATAATAATAATAATAATAATGGTAGTGATAATAGTGATAGTTATAATGATAAAAACAGCAGTAGTAGTGATAGTGATAAAGAAAATATAAAAAAAGGGAAATCAAAATCAGAGCAAAATATAACAACACCAAAGAAAAAAAAAGATATTGACAAAATTTTTAATAATATTCATGGTATCAATGACCGAAAGAAAGAAACAAGTGATGACGAGTTCCAAGTTTCTGATGATGATGTTGAAGAGTTGGCTGATAGAGTTATATCAAAATCATCACCAAGTAAAAAATACACCGAAAGTGAAGATAAACTTGAAAAGAGTAGTAAAAGATTAAGAAAATTAGGTGATGATACTGTAAAGGCTCTAGATAAAGAAATTGAAATCAAAAATAAATCAACGCCAACCAAAGATGCACTAAAGAAACTATTGGATGAAAAAAAAAGAAAGGACTCTGGGTCACCAATTAAAATCGATTTAAATTTAAAAGAAGATGATTTATCAAATGATGAAGAGGTAGATGAACAAGAGGCAGATGAACAAGAGGCAGATGAACAAGAGGCAGATGATATTATAATAGTTGAAGAAAAGTCATCAGAGCCAAGGCCAACCAATACACAGTACCAGCCTTTGGTTTTGTTAGATGGAACACCCCCAAATGAATCATTATCGTATGATATGTCACTAATTGAAGGTGGTGGTATTGTTAGATATGAACCTGAGACCCCATCACAGAAATCAGAAAGAGAGGAGAAAGAAAGAGAAGAAAGAAAAAAGCAAGAGGCAAAGCTAAGAGAAGAATATGAATCAGGGGGCTATGAGAATTTAGATAATGGTTATCAAGATAAAGAAGATTCTGCTTTTACTCGCTCATCAAACTATATGATTAATTTAAATTTAAAGAATGACGATAACAATTTAAAAATAACAAAATTCTTTGAAACAAAAACTGTAGCTGCTACATCACCAACAAGATCATTAGAAGAAGAGCGCGAAAGACTTGATAATAATCGTAAGTGGAACGAAATTTTTAATTTTGCATCGCCAGCAAAAAGAATATTAGAGTTCGAACCAGTTAAGAAAGAGAAACAACAAGACCCAGTTCTCAGAAATCATTTATTTAGCTTGGTTAATTCAACACAAACAAATATTAACCGTTATTTCGATAAAAACACATCATCATCACAAGTACCAGATTCATTTGAAGAGCAACCAATTTTAGCTATCAAAGATGACGACAGTGATAATAATTTAAATAAAAAAGAAAAGAAGAAAAAGACATCAAAAAAGAGAAAAGATTATAGTGGCAGCGACTCAGATACAGATAAAAATATTAGAAGAAGAAGATTGGTATTTGAAGGAGAAGATGAATCAACTATAAATTTAATAAGTGACAGCGAAAGAAATAGTCCCAAAAAGAAAAAAGAAACAAAAAAAATAAAATCAAAGATTTTAGATTCAGAAAACAACCCATCAAAAAAAACAAGATCATTAAAAAGGTTGGGCTCTTCAAGCAAATATTTCTTGGATGATAATGTTAGTGATGAAGAAGAAGATCAAGAAGACTATGAATTTGATGACTTTGTTGTTCAAGATGCTTCAGATGTAAACACATCAAGTGAAGAAGAGGAAGAAGATGTCGATGAATTCCTTCAAAAGAAAAAGAAACCATCAAAGAAAAAGAAAATTATTGTTCAAGAGGACGATGAAGAAGAAACCTCAATGCTTTATGAACCATCAACAACTGACAAAAAGAAAGTGGAAGGTCCAATCGATATTGATACAGGAAAACCAATGTTATATACTCAAGAAAAAAGCCAAATCAAGAATCAATCTAATCAAATCGTTTCGGTTAATGAAGATTTAGATAAAAAAGAAACAGACAATAGTGATCAAGATAGTGACAGTAGCAATAAATCAGATTCACAAGAACCAAATAAAGTTATTGAAAAGGTTAAAAAGCAATTTTCGATCAAGCTATCAATTAAAGAATCATTTAGTATTTTTATTCAGTATATTATCAGTTGTATAGTTGATAAAGAGTTCTCAAGATCAGTTATTCAAGATAAAGATGAATACTTTTTAGATAGCATTTCCAGAATTCATAGTACGATTGAAAGTAAAAAAAATTCATTGGTTCTCAGCAGTCTATGGCATGATAAGTTCCTTTCAGAATTAATTCATCGTCCATTCTTTCACTCAGTCGAAGATCAATCTGAAAACAGTAGCAAATGCAAGTCATGTAACAAAGATCATCATGCTGGTATGGTTATATTTTTATCTGGTAGAAGTTATAGTGTTGATGATTTCTGGGAAGGCTATTTTGAAAATCCAAAACGTTTAAAAGGCACCTCAAAAGATGAACCAAAAACAATTCAATATGAACTAGGCACATTTTGTTTCAATAGAGCCCAACTCTATCATCAACTCCACCATTTCCCTTATAAACTTTTTAGAGATATCAAAGGTGATGTTAGAAAGCTACAAGAAAAGCATGAACATTGGACCAACCAAGAGCTATTGGAATTTATGATCCAACCAAAACAACAATTCATTTCAAATTATTTTAATTTCTTTCAAGGTTTATTCGAAAGTGTCGATAATTTTTCTGGTATTAAATATACTTAAATAAGAATTAAATAAATAAATTTTGTAATTTCTTTTATTTTTAAATTTTTTAATATTTTATTTTAGTTTATTAGCAGGTCACCCATTTCCAAATATCATCAGACCAATGGATAATATCTCTTTTACAACCTGTCATTAATGAAGTTGTTTTGCAATCACCATTTGAATAACATGTTTTCTCTAATGGTCTATCTTCTTGACAATAAATCAATGTATTTTGGTAATTAGATGGTTGGTTGTTAAATAAAGTTCCATTAACATAATAATAGTAAAACCAAGGAGTACTTTCACATTCAGGATCACCATATGTTGCAACTTTTGTACCAAATAACGAAGGTGGTTTTGGATTTTCGACTATGTTTACTAATACATAGTTACCCTCGTTTTCACCATTTACATTCATTGATAATGCACTATCGGTATAGTTAGGGACTTGAATACATGTTCCGTTAGTATAAGTTTTAGTTGTTGAGGGGTTTGGAGAGGTGCATTGTTTATCATTTGTTTTATACTGTGGTATTGTAGTTGTTTTTAAATCTTGTGTTACACTAACTTTAAAATTAGTATTACCATAAGATTCTGTGATTAAAGGATAACAATAACCTACTTGAAAATTATAACCAACACCAATTTGTTCTCCTGAGCATGAAGAATCTGAACCAAAGGGTAATAATTCTATAAATGTTCCAAACTGGCCAAAAACAACATGATTTGAAAAAATAATAAAAATGGATAATATTAAAATTTTTTTCATTTTTATTATTTGTGATATTTTGGATGAATAAAAAAAAAATAAAAAAAAAAATTTTATAAAAACTAAAAAAAAGAAATATAATATCAAGATATTTTTTTTTAGAATAAATATAGAAAATATTTTTTAAAATCGTCATGAATGGTTATTTTAGAATAATAAAAGCATCATAAAAATCAATGCATCTTTATTAGAAATAATTTAAAATGATTTTAATTTTGGGTGCATGTTGGAATACCATTATAAATATATTCAACTTTGCCATCACACGATTCGCAATTTGCACCATAAAAGTTTTCCAAACATTCACATTTTGAATTAACACATCTAAAGAATTGGGTATTTGAGCATTGACTTTCAGTATAACAAATTTCTGGAACTTGTGAGCCTTCTTTATTTGGAACACAACGTGGAATACCTTTATAACCCCAAAGTACTGTACCAGTGCATGTACCATTTAAGTCTTGGAAACCGACAGCTGGTTGGCATTGGTGGTCAGAGGTTGGTGTATAGATAGTTCTTTTAAGGTTATCGCTATCTGATAAAACTGATTTAACTACACCGTCACTTGTTAAGAAATAAACAATACCATTGAATTCTGTAAGGGCTACTACATTTTCATCTTTGACAATTTGAATAGCAGTACTATTGCCATCTACTGAAATTTTTGAAATACCTCCATTATATGAATAATAAATCATACCACGAGATTCTATAAAGTCTGTTAATTTAGCGGCATTGGCATCTTGACCAATTTTAATTAATTTATCTTGGGTACAGTTTGAACAATCTATTGAACCTTTTAAGAGAGTACCATCATAAGTAGACATATAAATATCTTTCTTTGTTTGTTGATCAATGGCGAGACCATTAACGATTTGATTTTGGTATAAGAGAGTAGCTCCATCAGAGTCACTCTTTTTGGTTGGAATGTTATTGATTTTGTAAATACCATAGGCTGAGTATACAGTAATCTTTTCACTCTCGATGAAATCGATGGTGAATGGAGTATTATGAATATTCCAAATTTGTGTAATTGTATGGTCATTTTCGGTAAGAATTGAAAAAATTGGAGCACCGGCTTGGTTCATAATAAAATAATAGTATTTTGGCTGTGGTAAATATTTTAAAAATCTAAAGATACTGAAAGAACCTGAGCCTTCTTCTACTTCCCCACGGATATCAAATTTCTTGTGAATTTCACCATCTAAAGTTGTGATTGGAATATTGAACATAGCGGATACACCAAATGGACCATTATGTGTTGAATTAAATTTACCAGCTATTAACAAATTAAAATTACCATCATAAGCTATACCCGGATAAACATTTAGACCACCATTACATGCTGCATATGGATAACCCTTACCACATTCGTAGTCACCTGTGCATGCCCATGCTATACTTGCTATTGTTGATATTAGAAACGAAATTAAAATTTTTTTGTTGTAAAAAATTTTCATTTTTTTTTTTTTTTTAATTTAAAAAAATAAAATTTTTTTAAATAAATAGAAAAATAAATAAATAAATAAATAAATAAATAAATAATAAATAAATAAATAAATGAATAATTAAATTTATGATTTATATTATAAAAAAAAGGTTTAATTTCATCTTTAAATAATTTATAAAATTATTTATTATAAAAAATAAAAAAAATAAAAAAATAATAATTTAAACACTAATCTAAAAAATTACCATATTTATTATTTTATTTTTTAATTTTTTTATTTTTTTATTTTTTTATTTTTTAGATTTTATATGTGTTATTTTTATTTAGTAGTTTTTAATTATACACTAATAATTAATTTATTTCAACTTACTAATGTGCAAGAAATTCATTGAATAATCACAGGAAATATTGTTATTGGTTTTATGATCTTACCTAATAATTTTAAATTCAAAAAAAATAAAAATAAAATAAAAATTAAAATTTTAATTTATCAAAGTATGATAATATTTTATACTTGCAATAATAAATAAAAAATTATTAAAAAAAAAAATTTTGAATACAAATTAATTATTTTAATTTTTTTTTAGGACCAATTATTACATTCCCAAATTTACATATTTTATTCCTTTATTAAGATCAGATATTATGCATGGTACCAAAGGGCAATGGTTAGAAAATGAGGTTCTTTTATATTCATTAGTATTCCATTTACATATTCTATTAATCTTTTGCAATTCCATGTTTTTTAATTATTTTATTATATTAATTAAACTAAAGATTTATATATTAAACTGCACCAAAATTTTAAAAGAAGAAAATAAAATAAAATTAAACATTTAATACAAATAAAATTGAAAATAAATAAAAAGATTAAAGTTGAAATTTTAATATGTACATTTATTTTGAATTAGATTAATATATACAAAAGATTATATCGCAAGGTTGAAATTTTATTGTTCTTTATAATCTGAAATACCATCGCCGTAAATACCGAATGGACACTCTGACTCTGCTAAACAAGGCGAATCATAAACTTTGGCAATTCTCATTTCACCTTTACCTTTACGAAGTGATAAACGAGTAGTCGAAGCGTGTGCCATAATATGACCACCAATTGGCTAAAAAATAAATAAATAAATAAATAGTTAGTATTGATACTTAAGGTTTCTGAATGTGCATATATATAAATATAAAAATAAATACCTTTTTTGGATCTGGATTGAATAAACCTGCTCCACCATCAACTGTAGCTACGACTTGATTTGTAATTACGACTGCAACACCAAACTCATCTGCTAAACGTTGTAATGTACGAAGGAATCTGGCTAAATGTTTTTGTCTATCTGATAACTCACCTCTACCTGCATAATCTGTACGATATAATGATGTAGCTGAATCGACAACTAAAAGGGCGTATCTTGATTCACTCATCATTGCTGATGCTTGAACTAATAACTCTAATTGATGGTCACTGTTATAAGCACGTGCATATGAAATATTATCCAAAACGTGTTCACCATTTAAATTATATCTTTCTGCAATTGCCAATAGTCTTTCTGGACGGAAAGTGCCTTCTGTATCAATATATAATGCACGACCTTCACCACCACCCTGAGTATAACCCAATTGACATGTAACGCAAAGAGTGTGACAAATTTGAGTTTTACCTGTTCTAAACTATAATTATTAATTTAAAAAACATTAATATGAATTCAGATAAATGGCTTAAAACAAAAAAAAAAAAACTTACTTCACCAAAAATTTCTGTAATACTACCAGTTTCAATACCGCCATCTAATAATTTATCAAATTCTTTTGAACCAGTTGTAATTTGGATAATTTCTGATCTTTGTTTGTTGAAATCTGCGGCAGTGGTGAAACCCATTGGCACTAATTTCTTTGCTTCTGCTAATAATTTCTCTGCTTTTTGTTCAGAGATACCTTTAATTGAACATAATGTTTTCTTTGTTGAAAAAGCAACAGCTTGAACTGTATTTAAACCTTGCTCTTGTAATTTTTTAATATCTGCTGCTTGGATACCCGATTGACCTTCTAATTTTGATAATGGTAAATATGTATCCTCTTCTTCTTCTTCCTCTTCTTGTTGATTTTCAACATCAACCTCTTCTTCTTCTTCTCTATTTTGTTGTCTTGATGCCATATTTATTTATATATATATTATTTATTTATTAAAATTAAAAAAAAAAAAAGATTATTTGTTTGATGTTTTAAATGTATGAAAAATAAATTAAAAGAAATTTTTTTTTTTTAAATATTTATTTTTTTTTTTTTTTAATTTTTTTTTTCCAAAAAAATTTTTTTTAGAAGAAAAATGATTATATATAGAAATATTTATATTCCAAATAAATAACTTTTTTATCGATGGACAATGAAAAATGATGGAATAGATATACTGCTGTTATTATAAAGATATTTTAATAAATAAGTTATAAAATAATAAAAAATAATAAAATAATAAAAAAAAAATAATAAAAAAAAAATAAAGAGAAATAAAAGTTTTTTTTTTTTTTTTTGGAATAATAAAATTATTTATTTATTTATTTAATTTTTTAATTTTTTTTTATTTTATTTTTTTATATAAATTTCCAATCCATATTTATTTTATAAACAATTTATTTATTTTGTTAATGGAAATGGTGAATTATTAAAATAGGTTGAATTTATAATAAATTCATTATTACAATCTGAACAATTTAGAGTGATTTTATCATTTTTATTGACTTGATCTATATTAACTTTTGTTTTTGAATAATATAAACCAACACATTTTTTTCTTTGACAGTAGAATTTTGAGATCCAATTATCCATACATTCATCTTGATTTGTTTTTTCATCACATCTTGGACAACCACAATCAAAATAATAGCCATATTTTAAATACTCTTTTCTACTTTCTACTGGTAAATCTAAATCTAAATATGAAATAGCCAATGGTTCACCTTTTTTGACAGGGTATAGTGCTTTGAATGTCATCTTGTTACCATCACGAATATTAATACAGTTTGGTATGCATGAGTGATTAAAGAAACTTGAAGATGGTGATATTGCAACAGCTATACATTTATCGTTTTTAGTCCAAATACCAAATTGATTGCATCTAACTTTATGAATTAGTTCTCTAATGACTGAGATCACCTTTTCGACGGCTTCTTTTTTTAGTTCTGGTGTTGGGAGATCGTGATTGTCACTACTAGTAATCACCAGATTAAATAGATTTGCAATATAGTCCGTAATAATATCGATTAATTCTTTAGCGGCTTTATTTGAACCGTCATCAATTGTGTTCTCTACCAAATCGAATATATCATCTAGTGTATCTTGAATTTCGTTGTATTCGTCAAACTTTTTAATATTGATATCTGCACCATCAGCTTGTATATTTTGTTGTCTTTCTTTTTGCTTCTCAGCTTCCTCGGTATCTGATAACACATATTCTGATTCTGACAAATCCAACTCTTTAGGATCAAAATGGTCCGATGTCTCTGAACCCTCTGAAGATAACTCCTCTTGATTTAATAGTCTTTTCTCTTGTTGCTCCTTTAAATAGTTTGATAAATTGAACTTTTTGTTTAAAACTCTTTCTTGATAAAAACGTGATATTACACCGACCATCATTCTAACCTCTGTAAAAGTATCTGGATCGATTTCCCACTCGGATAATTTTGGAGCTTTAATTTTTTTAAAAAACTTGCATTCGTAATGGGCATGAATTGGTTGGCTTTCCTTTTTACAAAATTCGCTACAATACCAAATTTCGTTGCATACATTACATTTATATTCTTTAACTTTTTTTTTCTTTTCTTGTTGTGGTCTTTTAATTATTTTAACGCAATTTCCGCATGTTATTTTTTTATAGATTTCACATGGCATTGAAAAGTATGCTTTACATTTTAATAAATTTTCACCAACATCTATATCTCTTGTTGCTATAATATATCTTCCTTCAGTTTCTGATTTCTTTAATTCTAGTCCGTCGTATGATTTAAACATTTTTATTTATTTTCAAAATTTAAAAAAATATAAAATTTTATTTTTTTTTTAAAAAATTTAAAAATAAATATATATATAAATATATATATATAAAAATAAATTTAAATATAAATAAAACAACAATATTAGAAAAAAAAAAAAAATAAAACAATAAAAAATTATAATTGATTTTTTTTTTATATGGTAAGTATAATTAATCGGTTTTTTTTTAAAAAAAAATTTTATTTTAAAGGCAAAAAAGATATCAAAAAAAACTTTTTATTTTTTTTTATTTTTTTTAAAAATTTTTTTATTTTTTTTTGAAATTATTAAATAAATAATAATTTATTGATATCTCCTTTAAAATATCAAATCAAATCAAATCAAATCATGATTTCATTTTAAACCCAATACAATACTCTTTAGGAGTTATTTTCTTATTATATTAACAATATTAATTTATTATTATTTTTATTATTATTATCAACATTGTTCACTTTTTGGTCCCTAAAAAAAAATTTTCATATGAATTAATCGAAATCAATTATTAATCATTTATTTAATAGATTGAAGTATTTTAGTTTTTTAAAAAAACACTATTATTTATTTTTTTTGGAAGTGCATTAATAGTATCCCTAGTATAGAATGGGTTATAGGTATAAATGTAAAATCTGAACATTGGGTTTGCTGGGAGAACAACACTGTTTACAAATACACTAACAGTGTTAACACAAATAATATTCATACTAAAGATTATTTAGGATAATTTAATATAATACCTTTTTGTTTTTATAGCTTCTTTAAGAATTTAAAAATCATCAAAAAGAAATATCAAATTTTAAACTAATAAACTAAATGTGGTGTGATTTATATTATTTTTGCTGGCTTTTTTTTTAACACACTTTATAAATTTGCTTACTTATATAAAGTGGGATATTTAAGTATAGATAAATTGAATTTTATTTAAAATAATCAAAAATAGTTTTAATAAAAAAAAAAAAAAAAAAATTATTTGTTATAATTACAATAATTATATATAAAATTTTAACAGCGTTGCAAGGAAAAAAAAAAATTTTCAAGATAATTTGAAAATTATTTTTAAGTTGTTTTCACTTAAATTTTTTTTTTTTTTTTTTTTTTAGGACATAAACAAACAGTTTTTTCGGTATAGCCAGTTTGTGTAATGATTAAAACAAAGGTTTAATAAATTAGAAATAATATTATTTCGCCAAAGTTACTATTTATTTTTTTATTTTATACAATAAATGATTAAAATTCAAAAATATGAATAAATATTTGATTATTTGTATGAGGCTTTTGAAATGTTCAATCAAAGATAACAATGATATTATGGATTTTTCGTTTTCAAAATGACATCACCAACAACCTAAATGATGTAATGAAAATTGGAGGGATCAAAAAAAAAAAAAAATTTTGAAAAAAAACATTTTTTCGAATATTTTTTTTTTTTCAATTTAAAAAAAAAAAATGAAATTTTGCACATAACACAAGTAT